AGAAGGATATAATTCGAATTCCCCAAGGTGTACCCTTTCCAAAAATACCCACTAAACACTTGGTCATTTCCAGAAAGTAAAAGACCCCTGGCTCTTGGTCTATGTTCAACTGGCCAGCCGGGCAGCCGTTGCAAATTCGAAAAGAGGGATGGGGCTGGACGACATTTGACGCTAGGGGCGCCCTCTCCTTTTCTTTTCTTTTCTTTTTACAGTGTATTAGTACTTCACGCATCTGTGGAAAGAAGGAAATGGGCAGAGTACAGCATCACTTTTTGAAACAGTTTTGTCCACTCCTCTGGGTTGATTATTAATATAACTTTTTTTGGAGGGGGGTGGGGGCATGGCCCCGTTGGTCCCCTGGATTCAGCAGTCAAATCTGAAGATGTAAACGGACACGGAAAAGATTTCCCTCACCACAGCCTGTGATTGACAGTTAGCGATACTAACTCCTTTTTGAACAGGGACAAACACACCGATAATGAACCTGAAGACATGACAAGGGTATGGATTAACTACAAAAGGGAGTAGGGATGTAAGGGGAGGGGAAACGATTACGGGGAAAGGGGGCTTAACGGGAAGGCACTTGAGAGCGTGTCAAGGAACAATTGCAACCTAATGATGGAGGGAGGGAAAACGGTTAAGGACTTGGGAGTGTGGCAGGGTGTACAATTCTGTTGGGTGTGAGTTTGCGAGAAACAAATAGTTAATGCATCAGAGCTTATCACGGGCCGAATGAACAATGATTTGTGTGTGTCAGCGATAACATGTTGTTAGATGCCCTCTCGAATGTCTTGTGAAGCTGGCGGGCAAATACTCTTGCAGGTGTCGGAGGACTTGATTGACAGCCTTCAGTGTCAGTGATTTGGTGATGGTGGGGGGGGGGGGGGGGGCATGGAGAACAAGTTGACTGCACTTTCTTGAGTTGAAAGGCGAACTTCAAGATATGTCGTGTGGTGGGGAATGGCCAGAGGGAATAGATTTCAGAGGGCAAAGGAGCTTGAGATTCCGAAAATAGTGACATTTTATAGAGTTTGGAAGGGCAAATAATTAATTCCCAGAATTGTCATATCACGTTGTACAAATTACATTACATTTATTATATGTTATACACCCCTGCCCCCCAAAAAAAAATTAAATTAGTGATTTATGTACTATGATATCTAATAACCAGAATATTATGACTATAAAGTTAGCAATAGACATCTTACAATAATATCTTCGGATCCCGTCGCCAGCTTCGAACAATAGGGGGGGGGGGGCAAAGCACAAACTAGGGGAGTGGCACCACATCAAAAATCACACTAAAATATAATTTTTACGCTTATAGTTTTTGCCCATGGGGGCCAGTTGCTCGTCGCCCCCCCCCCCCCCTTGGCGAGCAACAAAAATTTTCCCCATTCTTCTAATGCCGTTGAAACTTCAACAGCTTCGTCTACAAAGTGTACCAAGGGGGTTTAACACACACGTTAATGCGCTATTATTCTCACTCTTTATTCACTACCATGTCATACCGATTATCAGATGAATGATAGGCCTATACTAATAACCAATTCGACTTCATACCAATACTAATAACTGGATATTTTCCACCTTAAAGGCAGTAGGAACTTTGCTTATTTGGAAACGGACGTACTGATTTTGAGAAAACCTTTATCTCAAAGTGGAGATAGGATGGTACCAAATATCCTTTGTGATTATTCCACCTAAAATGGTACAGTGCAAGAACTCCCTCCCAAAAAAAAGTGTATATGTGACCTACTGTGGAAAAATGAGGAATGTCCCCAAAACGATGTTTTGACTAATCAACGCCTGAAATTGGATAAGCAAAAAAAAATCATGTCAAAATCACTATTTTTTTTTCACGTTTTTGAGTAGCCAATGTATTCAAGATTCACACTATGCCTTTTTGTGGGGAAAAATATTCCAAAAAGTTGTAACTGAAGAACGTTTTCCACTGCTGTTGGCGGCGCAATGCGTATTTCTTTCTTCAAAGCAGTTTTTTTCTTGAAATGAGGTTGGCGAAGTTCGGCGGGACACTGTTGAAGGTCCTGCGGCATATCTTTGGAATAAGTTAAGCTACAGAAATCAATTTGGTATCATTGGAAAGCTAATAATTTGCGCTTTAACATGATGTACGTAACTCAAAAAGTCAAAGGTGGGGGTTATTCCTCATTATGATATGGCAGGTCACATATGTTTGCTCTGTTTTCTCAAAATGTATAGAATCCACTCAGCTAAGAATTCATCAGGTTCATTGCTATGCACCCTACTTGATATTTTGAGTTAATTGTTGCTTCAAACGAAAAAAAAAATGCACACAAAAAAAGCAATGATCCTATGTACCTTAAACTTAAATCAAGCCTTTCCGGCCTGTTTCTCCACTGTATCAGTCTATTCCTAATTGAATATATAAAATTCAAATTGTTTTAAGTAAATAATTGCACTATTATTGATAACGTACAAGACAAATCAAGTTTTCAGAAATGTCCATGTACTCAATTCTTTACTTATTTAATAACAAACACAATTGTTACCGAATCATATTCTAGTAGTGCTTCGTGCATTTATTAACGTTCCCCTCTTTTTGTCTCAATAATCAAAGAGACCTGAATCATAATGACGTGCGTTTTCTTTATGGCGCCAGGTGGAGATGAGAGCCACAAAACTCCATAAGTAAGCGTACACTTATACAAAGCATGATGTCATTGTTATTCAGGTCTATGGCACCTTTTTATGGCGTCCTCCACTAAAGCAAAATGAGGCGGTACACTGCATCACATTGTAGCTTGATAATTTCATTCATGTGGCCGTTTGAGCTGAATATGCATGCAGAGACAACAGCAAAAAGTTATAATTCATGATCTGACGTTCATTTGTCATCATGTGCGGGTCCGCATGCTTCCCAGCAACAGTGATTAGATTCGCTTTTGCGGTCCCTGACCCACATAATCGTTTTCTTTGTGATTTTTTGTGTCTTACTGGTTATTGTTCAACTCCCAATTGGGAAGCCCACTCCAGCTGTCATTTAAAGTGCATGCCCTCTACTTCATGATTTTTTAATAATTTAAATTACAGGTTGATACGTTTCTTTTGTTGTGCATTTTCAACCACTTTTGTGTAATTTTTGTTTGGTTTTGTATCACTGTTTGTAAGTCTTTGTTGAGGTCGAATAAATAATAATAATAATAAAAAAATGGTCTTCCATAAAATTTACTTATCTGCCATTTAACTATTTTACTATTTTATATACTATTAATTACTATATTAAATTTTACAAACATCATTGGCTAGCTCACTAAGGGCATGTTAACAAAATTCATGTATATTGAATGAAATATGCTATTTTAATTTAACAAAAATACACAAATGCAGCACCTTTGGGCCAAGTGGCTTCTTGGGATTTTAATCACAGTATTACTTGCAGTTAGCATGCATGCAGCCTCAACATCTCTCGTGGCAGATGCACATTGTATGGGCTCCATGGACAAGTACCCCCTCACTGGCAAGAAAGGGAGAGTTGGGGGAGGCCATTGGGAGAGACATTCGAACGCATCGCTGACGACGCCTGATGCTCCCGTAAAGATGCTATGTATATGGTTTTGTGCACATTTAGAATTAAACAAGTCGTGTGTACTCAACGAACCAGTATGCACATGAGGTGAATCCTGTCCAAGGGGCTCTCGAATGTGGCAAAAAAGCGCCCTCTCTTGATGGCGTATGGAGCCCATAGGCTGAGTTTGGCCAGCGCATCATTGGCCCATTGACCTGATGGTAGCAGACCAGTAAATAAACTTCCATAGACCCCAATGGTAAATGCTCCCACTTCAAAAATTCGGGAAAAATACTCACAACTCTCCAAGGTGTTCGAGACACACATCAAATTAAAGCTTATTTCATCATCTTTCATTTTCTTTTCAATTTTCGGGGGGGTCAACTGATGACTTTTAGGAGAAATTTCCATCTGAAGATGATCACCCCTGAAAATAGTCCTGAAGCCCATCGCCATTTTGAAAAACGATGCCTACACTCCATTGCAAAATAGAGCGCTTTTAGGGTCCAAATTACATCAAAATTACACAGAACTGCAAACTCCCAGTCCTGTGCACGGCTTCCACCCATATTTTTTACAAACCCTCAAGTTCATGGCCCACAGCTTGCTCAAATACCGAAGATTTTGAGGGCATGCAAATCGTGATTTGGCCGGCGCAGGCAATTTCGGACCGATTTACTGGTCTGCACCCTATAGTACATGTAGTACATCATGTAAATAGCGGTATCAACACATGTATGAATGGGGAACGGAATCTGCATGTACCGGTATGGCTGGAGTAGTAGACCATTCAGGTATAGACAGTATCATCAAGGAGACTAACAACCAATAAGATTACAGAACCACCGAGGGTACTGCCTGTCCTTTCACATGAGATTTTAGGTAGGGATCCAGTCTGACTTGCACTGAGCTGTAACTTACAATTGGACAATTTTTTACCAATAGAGGGTGCTCTTTGCATATAACAGACGTGCAATGCAATACTTCATACTTGCATTTTGCAAAGGACCAGTGTTAACCAATTAATTTTTTCTGTTTAGTTATTTAAAACAGGCAATCCACTTCAGTTTATGGCATGCATTTCCTTTCAATTTATAAGTCATTGATTCAGGGTTGATGAATACAAACTATAGGGTGCAACCCAGTAAAAAATTCCAATAGACAACAGTGACAAATCCTTACACTTCAAAATTCTTTTTAAAATACTCAGAACTCTCACAGGTGTTCAGGCTGCACAGAAAAATGATGATCGACATGTTGTCTTTCATTTTCCTTTCAATTTTTGGAAGGTCGACAAATGACTTTTTGGGAAATTCTCAGCCAAAGACGACCACCCCTAAAACCATGATATTTCCCAAACTTAAAAAGTAGCCATTTTGAAAAAGGATCCCTCCTCAACATGGCTAAATAGCGCCACTTTCGGACCCATTGTATCAAAAAAGCTCAGAATTGGAAGCCCCAAGTCCAGGCCAGAGGTGCAGTGCCATATGACCTCAATCCCCCAATTCTGTGGCTCTCAGAACTCTCTAATATAGAATAATTTGAATGTATCACTTTTATTCATGAGCTCGGTGGACGGATTTTTGGCCTACTTACTTGGTTGCACCCTTTAAAGTAATATTTTAATTACCATTTACCTCAAAGTAATTATGACATTTTCACTTACATCCAAAGAAACCAATGTAAAGTTCATCTCATGCCGAAAATGTTGCACTAAGGAATCTTTCTTCCTGAAGGGCATCTCAACATTTTAGTCAGATTCCTGGAAGACTTACGTGTACTGAAGTCATTCAATCTCCTCAGGAGTCCAGACACCTTTTGTAAATGGTCAGGTTCCTGGACGGCTTGGTAGGGTGGATTCAGTCAGTCTCCTTTGGAATCCAGACATGTTGTTCTGTGTAAATGGTCAGGCTCCTGGATGGCTGGAGTGAACTGTTTTAAGTCAGTCTCCTCGGGAATCCAGACACAATTCCACTGTTTTGTTTCTTTGGATGGTGGAACCACAGCTGCTAACTCATTAGCAAAGGCTCAGTAGTTTTGGCAGCCTTGTCTGAATTCTGTGGTTCAGTTTCAGGGACTTCGGGCAATCCGGCTAGGAAATCTTCCTGGTTCATTGATGACTTGTCAGCTGAAAGGAAGGGGAAAAAAGCGAAGAAAGAATAGAAATAGAGCAAACAGATTTTTATTGAAATCCCAAAGCATGTTGTTATGAGCCTCCCGGAATCCTCCAAAATCAACCACTGTGCAAGAACTCAATTATGCAACCCTTAAACTCTCAAGCGACAATAAATCCCAAGAGAAGTAATATTGAGTGAGCCTGTTCCTTCCTCCGTCCTTCAAATCCTGCAAATTATCCTGATACATTTAACCAGTTCGCGCCGGATGACGTGTATACAAGCAAACGTTTTGCGGTATTCGGAACGGATGATGGACAAACACGCAGGGAGCCAGGCCGGAAATTTCTGTCAGCGACCTGCTCGCAGCGAGCGAGGCCGGAAATATGAGTGTGCTGCTTGAGGGTGGTAGCTTCAACGCGCCTGGCTTGAGGTCGAGTGAATAATAATAATAATAATAACAAGAATTTATAAAGCGCCTTTGCCAAAGAATTCAAAGCGCTGAAAACAAATTAACAGAATTTGAAACAAGTAAAATCAAAATAGGTATGAGTGAAAAGTAATCCTGCGCCTCGTTTCATTCTTGTCAAAATATTCCTGGCGTTAACTGGTTAAGAAGGATCTATGGCAGAATTTGGGTTAATGAGCTGGGTCAATTTGTTTTCATTTCTTAAATTCCGTATCAGAATGAATAGAATTACTTAAGTGTGCCCAACATTTTCAGTCTCGAAGAAAGATTTGCTTGTAGTTACTGCGCACACAATTGCATGGCGCAACCATTTGGCAGGTTAAACACTTTCCCATGACAACATGTTGAACTATGCCCACACTGTGTCTTGAGACAGCATGAACTACATCAAATTCTGTAACAGTGGATTTTGAAATGCACTCACATAATTTTGGCAATTCACAATGTAGTGTGCAACCAAGAGTTTGCCATGGAGAGTCCATTTTTCAAGATTACGGTCGACAAAACATGGCCCTTTTGAATGAGTGTCAGTTGACAACTTGAAACTAATTTGTTATAGATTGGGGAATAGCGTTCTGCTGCCTTACAAAAATAACCATATTAATAAAAAAGCAAAGAAAAGGGCAAACAGATACTTGAATCATACGCTTACAAAACTACTGACCGGAAAAACAAACAATTTCAAATGTCCCGCCCTGCAAATTTGTCGACCATCTCCCACAATGCATGGGAAAAATGCACTCTCCGTGGAAAACTCTTGGTGGCGCACTGCATTGTGAATCACCTGAATTTGACATTCACTGTATTTATCAAAGTGGTGTCTGAGAACTTGTGAAAAAAATTCATAAGCTAGGTGGGACTCAAACCAAGAAGAAAAGTCAAGTCCGTCACTAGCATTATAGCCCATCAAAGCGTTTATCTCCAGTTTTAGTAGCATGAACGACTGAGAATATTTCTATCCCCCCTGGATTGGATGCTAGTCCATCGCAGGTTGGAGACAGGCAAGTGGGGGTAATGTGATTTGCCTACAATGTAAGGATACAACATATGCCCCTTCAGGTGGATTCGAACCCCTGACACTCTGCTCATGAGTCACGTACCCTAAGCACTAGGCCACACCTCCCCTCCCTCCCCGAACTCAAACTCACAACCCCCGCTTACAAATATAGACATCTTAGCCACTTGACTAGCAAGCCTGCTGTCACTGACTGGCCAGTTCAACTATACAATTGTTGCCTGTTGTGAGATATACACAATCCACTGACCCCAATCACGGCAGGCAAGAATTGTTTTGTTATACCACGGTAATAGATTGCAACCGTCTGAAATTGTGGGTTTCCTCCAGTTGCCGTGCAGTAATCACAGAAGAATTATTTTGAACAGATCTACGATTACTGCACCGTGAATATTCGCACTGTTTTTTTTTTTTTCATCGCACAGGAACACAAATTAATTTACCTTTTCCCAGAATAGACCAATCCATTAATCCCTCCCCCCGTTACGTACCAATCACAGTTACGACCATATTCTAAGTGCGTCCATCCGACATGCACATTCGTGCGCGCATTCATCCGACATGCGTGCGCGCGTGTGCACGCTGTCTGAAGCCTCTTACCCGGGATATTTCTATTATACAAGGTGGTGAAAACAACACAGTGGGGACGATCAAGATAATGTACCCCGTGGCGTACATCACTCATGTACCACGGGGTGTACGCCCCTAATACAGTACATGCGTGTTTGTGGCATATCACGTGCTCGGTTCTCGACCAATAAAAAATCACAATCTATTACCATGGTCTAATAATACATATTAATGACATAAGGTTCTTTGTATGTCTCACTTGTTGGTTTCACAGTCTCCCCGATGTCCTGAGATGTTGATTCATCCAGGAGATCGGCAAGCTCGGCTTCTAGAGTCTCTGTGTCGAACCCGGCCGAGAAGGACACCGAATCATCGATGGCTTTATTCCCTTGGGACATAGTGTCTTCTATCTCAGCACACAACTCCATCACCTGAGAAGGACAGTCACATGATAAAGCATGGCGAGTAGAAACCTAACTAGATCTTGCAATTATACACATTACTTGGGATGCTTACATGCCCAAAACGCCCATCACAGGTGTGATATGTAAACCCCTGAACATTGCACTGTGAAATACCAACATGAGCTTTGGAGCATTTCAATATCAAGTTGGACAACCAACCCCAGTGGCAGATCAACAGGGAGGATGTAGTGGGTATAATCCCCCGGACCAGAAATGACATTTATTTCCATTTTTTGAAAAGTTGAACAAAGAAATTGACTGGAGAGGGGTTTGAACCTGCAACCTCTGGATTACCATCCCGGTGCTCCACCTACTGAGCAGTGACGTAGCCAGGAATTTTTCAGTGGGGGGGGGGGGGGCGCTGGGGGGCTGGAACATTTCATGGGGGGGCGTCATGCAGGGGTGTCCATCGCTTCTCAAAAGTGGGGGGGGGGTGGACATACCTTGATCACAACTGATGCGAGCGCGAAGCGCGAAGCCCTTACGGCGTGGGGTTCTGGGCCCGCTTAAGGGCCCCAAAAAATATTGGATTCTCGATGCTCTGTGGTGTGATCTGAGGCAATTTCTTACCACTTTAACTAATAATTATCTTAGCACAAAAGATAATAATTTAAACATAATTTTCAAGGTTTTCTCAGCTAAAGGCATAAGAAAATTTTTTGAACATTGTTTTCGAGGTTGGAGTCATTGAATCAGCTACCAGAATTCTGAGCTTTAGGCGTGGGGTTCGGGGCCCGCTTAAGGGCCCCGAAAAATTTTGGATTCTAAATGCTCTGTGGTGCTATCTGAGGCATTAACCAATATTTTCTAAGCAAAAGATACATTGTAGTACATAATAGGGCCCTGTAAATGAGACACGAGTTCAAAAATTGGGGGGGGGGGGGGGGACATTTGATATTGTGTCCCCCACCCTTCAAAAAGTGTGGGGGGACATGTCCCCTGTCCCCCCCCCCCCCCCCCCCCCCCCATGAATGACACCCATGGCGTCATGTAGATCAATGATAATTTTTTTAGAAACTCAAAATCTCTGTGGGGGGGCGACTAGGTTTCATGGGGCCCGCTTAAGGGCCCCGAAAAATTTTGGATTCTAAATGCTCTGTGGTGCTATCTGAGGCATTAACCAATATTTTCTAAGCAAAAGATACATTGTAGTACATAATAGGGCCCTGTAAATGAGACACGAGTTCAAAAATTGGGGGGGGGGGGGACATTTGATATTGTGTCCCCCACCCTTCAAAAAGTGTGGGGGGACATGTCCCCTGTCCCCCCCCCATGAATGACACCCATGGCGTCATGTAGATCAATGATAATTTTTTTAGAAACTCAAAATCTCTGTGGGGGGGCGACTAGGTTTCATGGGGCCCGCTTAAGGGCCCCGAAAAATTTTGGATTCTAAATGCTCTGTGGTGCTATCTGAGGCATTAACCAATATTTTCTAAGCAAAAGATACATTGTAGTACATAATAGGGCCCTGTAAATGAGACACGAGTTCAAAAATTGGGGGGGGGGACATTTGATATTGTGTCCCCCACCCTTCAAAAAGTGTGGGGGGGGACATGTCCCCTGTCCCCCCCCCCCCCCCAAGAATGACACCCATGGCGTCATGTAGATCAATGATAATTTTTTTAGAAACTCAAAATCTCTGTGGGGGGGGGGGGGGCGACTAGGTTTCATGGGGGGCGGTCGCCCCCCCCAAAAAAAAAATTGGGGGGGGGCGGGCGACCGCCCCCCATGAAACCTAGTCGCCCCCCCACAGAGATTTTGAGTTTCTAAAAAAATTATCATTGATCTACATGACGCCCTCGGCTTCACCACGAGGTGAAGCCGAGTGAACTGGAAAAGTCCAGATTTTACCGAGCGATAATATTCCTCCCGCCATTTCACAATTTAAAGCCACTCAATATTTGTTTTATATAACTGACATATAGATCCTTGTCATTTGATATATTTGAACTTTTTTTTCAATACAAAAATGGAGGAAAATGTATTTCTCTCTTCCAAACCACCCCTTCACGAAAATGTTTGAACCCAACGCTGTAGCGCTGGCTCTTTGAAACAGTACGCGCTACGCGCAACACTGAACGCGCACACCAGCATGCATTTGCACACAAATACCGCGTCATGATCCTAACTGTTCAATAGTATTTCCCATTCCCCATGGGCAGATAGTCCTTTTGAGCCGCGGCGTGAATGGGAGCAATAACGAATGTCACGTGATGTGAGTTCCACCAATCAAATGACAAGGATCTGTATAAATTGCTCTATACCAGCAAAGACCGAGAGTGGATCATTGGTTTGAGGAGCACATCAGTCTGGTATGCAATGTTTTGCACTACATGTGATATTGGCAAGATCATTGAAAGTTGGGTACAATTGTTCACACAACTAAACCTTGAAATTTTGAATTTCTTTAATTTTACGCTTTACACTTTCATGACAGAATTTCACAGTTTGTGCAAAACGTTTGGTACTTTGGTTGCTCAGACTGTTTCTCAGACTTTGAGGAACAGTCGCATGTCTTGAGTAGTACTCAAGTACATCGATAGGTTGCCAACTTTTGCATGTTAGACTGTAAATATAAGGGTAAGGAATTTATTTTGGGGGAGATACATATAAGTTGCCTACCTCTTGGACATCTGAAAGTGTGTCGTCCACTGCCTCCGGTGTTAAGCCATTGGCTTTCAACGTCTGCTTCAAAGCACTGGCTCCAGCTCGGTATGCTTCCAAGGTCTGAACAAAACAGAATCACAAGAATAGACTGTACGCTTCAACTAAAAAGTCTCTAAAAGGGGCAGGCATCATGACGAAGTCTTTCAGATGCACATTTTATTTGTCAAGTTGTTCATTTTGTGCTGTATAATTTAGACTTGGTCTGCAACTGTGGTCAAGTTCGATCAAGGACTAATGGTCAACTAGTGGTTGGCAATACCTAACGCAAGCGCACTAAAGTTGAAATGCGAATGACTCTAGTAGTATTGTTATGTCAACGACCATGAGAAAACGGCGGTTGCACAATTTTTCAAAGCTTTATGTTTCTGTTTATTGGTACAAATAGTGATTGCGTAGTTTAGGACACCAAACATAATCGTCATTATTATTGTACAATTATAGCAAAAGCGAAAGAATCGTAAACCAACATGGAAAATTATGCAATGACAATAAAATTTAGCACTCACAGTTTTCGTTTTTCTGCCCTTTTTGTTTATAGTTGGTCCTCTCTGCACTATGCTATGAAAATTGCTACTGATAACCAGCTACAAATCGTGGCACGATAGGCTGGTCCTGAATAGTCGAATATACTAGTCCAATCATCGTAGGAAAGCATGCATTCGATCAGAGTCGAACTATGGTTGACTATGGTGCCTGATCGAACTTGTAGTGACACTTTGTGTTTTAGTATTTTTCACAATATTGTAAGAGTTTCCAAACTGCCCACATGAGGGCGCTGTTTGTGCTCACCAATGACAAAACATTATTTGAAAAGGGTTTGGACACATTGTTGAAATCTCACCATTGTACTTGTTTCGGCTCCTTTTATTTGGTCAAGCAGCTGTTGTAACGTGTCCAACGTTGTCTCTTTCTTGGCCAACCTCCTCTCAAGAATCTTTTTCCTCCTCAAGATGTTCTTGGCCTTTGAACATACAATGTAAAAAAGAACCCACCGAGTAAGCTTCAGTAATAACTGGTATTGCACGCCTACAGTAGTAACCTATGACAGTTGCGTCACCAAATCGCTTCACAAGCTGATGAAGATTTTTCGATGGGAAGGGGTGGGGGAGGGGTGGGGGTGAGGTGTCTAACTCCCGGGCCAATATTCCAGGGCTAAGCTCACAATTTTCTGCTAACACAGCCTCCTTGTATTTCACGGAGACCGTAAGCAGTAAGCGCACAAATGGCACGCTTAGCTCAGAGGAAATAGTTGCTTAAATCAGTGATGTCACAATAGAAATCTCCAAGGGCGCGCAACCGTTAGCACATCCACGCCATGAAATAGTGCTTAAGGTTACCACAATTTCCTGTAATTTCATTGAATGCTTTACTTCATTTGCTACTTATAACCATAACCCCATATGCCTCTAAAGTAGATTTTGAAGAAAGTGGAAACATTGTGTGGACCTTTGCAAGTCCACAGAATGTCTTAAGCTCCTGCACTTTGTGTTTTTTTTTTTTTTCACATGTCCACACAGCGACTGCACTGCTAATACACAGATTCTTGTTCCGTAACTATGGAGACTATACACAAGCTGTCGCATGGTACTATGGGAACCGAAGACGCTGTAAAGACAGCAGAAAGTCCCCACAACTCGGTCCTAATTTGCCTAACAATTGATCTATTGCGGTAGAATCGCGATAGAATCGCGTCAACGCAGCTTGTGAAATATTGTCCAATTACATGTACATGATATACAAATGGACGCGGAACGCGCAAAATCTGAGACAAACAAAACTTAGTGTACAAAAATTCCGTAGGGTTGTCTAAGGGGCGTGGCTAACTCTCAAACGGCGATAGGTCAATAAAACACTTCCCCCATTACGCAGTGATGGCCCGCCCATATTAGTCACACACACACACACACATTAGCTCTGCATATTGTCAATATGGTCAAATTCCAGAGACTTGACAACTCACCGAGGATTTGAGACCCTTTCGAACCGTCAGTGCTGCCTCATTGCGGAGATTATTCATGTCCTTCTCATGCTGCTCAATCTGCTTCTTCAAGTTGTTTATAGTCCTCCGTAAACTGGAAATAACAAGTAACAGATCATAATGAACAGCTAATTTGAAGTAGCGGATTTTTCAAAAGTTGCTACCACGACCATCTACAATGAACATGTACAAGTATTAGAACAACGCCTATTGTTCCTTTCCGCATTTCTATATATTAAATTTTAAAAAGAGGCCATGTTTTACAATTTGACCAATTGAAACTTACAGGATGAATTTCAGGAAAGGATATGTTGGAATATCAGGGGCGGATCCAAGAATTTTTGCAGAGGGAGTTTTCATGAGCAAAAAAATTGTGAAACGTAGACAGGTTTTTTTTCTCTGAACACTTGACCTCCGAAAATCAATGGGGGGGGGGCTCGTACCATACTTTCAATGGGACGCTGTTCAAATCCAACAATTATTAACACCATATTACAGAATAGTGTACAAATACTCCCTAACCAAGCTGGCTCTGCCCGTATTTTGTGCACAGGCGGACATTATTACCAGTATAATTTTTTGGGGGGGTGTCAGAGCTGGGGAGGGGGATGTTTTCGCATCATTTTTTAACAAATTTCTATGAATTTTTTTTGGGACACGGCAGGTGTTTTTTTTTTACCCCCTCCCCCCGAATCCGCGCCTGAATTTCAAAAGAAAAATTGATCATGAAGTGTGTATCACTGGCAGTTAATACAGACATTGCAATGCACCGCACCCATATTATCTATGACTGCACTCACCCTACTATGCCAAGCTCTGTCTCTGTAAGTGGGGTAACAGTGCGTTGATTTTTGCTGACAAATTTCACAACCTGCAAACAAGTGTAGAAAGCAATATAAATCTGTTCACCGCCAATCTTGAATGTGCTAATGAGGAGCCTGCTTCTACATGTTATACCCCTTCTCAATCTCTGCTCTTCTCCTGAAAACCTTAGCTGTTCAGTTCTTGAATGCAAGCCTTGAATGTCAGCCAACAGAGATCTAGTTCTACGAGTGAACTGATAAATCTGGTTATGTTTGAAGCACCATTTATACATTGGTATTAACAAAATGCATGACCTGTAACGATAACACATTTAACGATACGGAATGGAATTTCACCGGAGAGCTCTACATTTGCAAATGCAATGCGAGAGTTCAACAATCACAGATGCATGCTGTATACATGTAGGAATGGTTTTCTAAGGCCGAACAAAAAAATTGTTCTGTTTCCGGTTACCCGACCTACCCTAATTTTATTGCGCGACCCTAAAGTTTTTATCAGCAAGTTAAAAAAAAACAAAATCATGTTGTATTTTGTGTCTTCACAAAAACGGTTCCCAAGAACCTTTTTACGTAAAAAACGCTTGTAATATTTCTGCCGTCCGTATTTATTTGTTTTTCTACTTACAATTGCTATTTTTGTATGGAAATCTCCGTTGCTTTGCCCCCGATGTAATGAACTGAATATCATTGGATAGAGGACATCCTAGACTTTTTCCTTGTAGTTGCCTCTTTATGAAATATTTAGTACATTTCCGATAATTTACATTAAAAAATAAGTACATTTGTTTTGAGCCACCCTGTATGCAGGGCTTGACTTTAGCGGAAGCCCGCTAGCCAAATGCTAGTCAAAACAGCGGCGGGCTAGTCAAACTATTCCTTAAGTAGCCCAGCTGGCGAGTCAAAAAGTATTGGGCTAACGGCAAAGATGAAAGGACAGGAAGAAATAAATCATTAAATTCAGAAAGCGAACCTGTATCAATTTGTGTCTAATTTTATTAAATGTTTAGGATTAAATTATTAGGTGTGTTTATTAAAAACACTGACAAGATTGCCTCAGGATACACGTTTTACATGTATGCACATTGTTGCTTATAAAAGAAAAACATGCGGGCCAGTGAAAATGCCTGCGGGCTAGTTAAGAGTCTGTTTCAGAAGTTAAGGTCGAACCCTGCTGTATACGATATTGAGGTCAGGTCTCCTGTCTAGTGAGCCTGTAGCTAACTAATCTCACCTTTGACCCATCTGCTATTGCTTCCACGTGGACCCTCTTCATTTTCTGCAGGTAGAGAAGCGCCAGATCGAGGGACGTCTCATCCCCACATACGTCCTGGCACACCTCTCTCAGAGTGGTATATTCCACAAGATTGTCTGCGTTGTCAATGTTGCTGCATTGCTGATGGAGGTCCACTATGGATTCTGCAATTTCCTTTTTTTGGGGGGGGGGGGGGATACAAAACATTAAAGTCAATGACAAATTTAAAAATAGGCTTAGACAATTTTGAAAGAACATCAAATTAGTTTACTACATGTAATTTTCTAGCAAATGTACTTGTAAGTTAAACACAGTTACAATGTAGAATGATCCTAATTTTAAATTTTTTGAACCTCTTGTTTGGTAATGTGCATTATCTTTATTTCTTTTCTGTGACCAGCTTAAAGGGACATTATGTCCAGGAATGCTCCCAATTGGGCGACAAAACACATTTTAAACGAAATTACATGTATGTTAATTGGAAAGAGCATTTAAAAGTAGAGTATGCAAACAATGTCCGCACAACCATCCTTTCAAAACTGGGCGTTTTTTATTTATTCTCTCGAGAACCATGTGAGAACGAATTTCGGAGGGGGCCAAAATTTTGACTCTCAAAACTCAAGCCGAGTGCCAGTTGTCAATCTTGTCGCACAGCGCATCGCATTCTGCGGACGTGCGAGAAACAACATTTGTGTATTGGTGCTGTGTGAAAGGGGCTGGTTAGCAGTAATACAAACACAAATGGTTCTAAGAAGTGGCTGCAGCTGTATCCATAGACGTGTGTGTATTGCAAGCCGTAGCCATTCAATTTGGGCAGGCTACTGCACATCTCTGTGCTAACTGGTAATTAGTTTGTTTCTCTAAAATTAGACATTCCATCATAAAGTCCTCACAAGTCCTACAGTATCAAGTCAAGTCACAAGATATTCAAATAGACTCCCTTTGTTCAGTTGATTCACAGATATCTAAGACAGTTTACCCATTCCTTTTGGCAGAGAGCCTGTCACATGGCCAAACTTAAACAGCTGATAAAATGCCGGCTGGCTGGTTTTAAACACTTTTCCAGTGTCACATGAAATTGAGACACTTAGGAAGTTTGGTCCCTTTTATCATTTTATTGGTTGAACGTTCACTAAATGTTCACTTAGGCATGCGTAATACTACCAATGAGTCCATATTTTGCGAGTCCTAAATTCACACTACGCCGGCACCACCGCGTTCTGCACCACATCGCGCAGTACGCACCATGTGCGCCAATCTCCATATAAGGAGTTGTTTACGACTACTCGCAAGAGGAACATACCATAACATGCATTTGTAGCTAGAGGGGGTCTTTTAAAAAACATGAAGTAAAAGTGTTGAACATATAGTTGGAAATGTACATTTTTTGACTTGTTTTGACTTTTGACCGAAAAGATATTTATGAATGGGAATGAAGATGTGCTTGGCTGGTATTAAACAAGTTTGTTTAAGACTGGCTTGGGTCTGGTAGCCAATTATGTCCCTCGCCTTCGGCTCAGGCCATTATCGGCGTCCACTCTCCAAGCTGGTCTTAAACAGACTTGTTTAAAACCAGCCAAACACATATTTATTACCTGTTACTTGTGACTGGACTTGTGATTTACTTTTGATTGGACTAATGATGGACTTGACAACAAGACTGAGCTGAACCCAGACAGGGCTCTGGAGTGCTCTGAAACGTGCAAAAATAAATCAGGCCCATTTTACTTACAGTTTAGCCAGCAAATTTCTCCAAAAATTCCACTGGGGCAAAGAAAATGTCCTCCGTATTTCACCAACCAAGTTTGCAGACTCAATTCAATTTTTTAAAGGAGACTTTTCTTCAATATTTTGCACATGAGAGGGAAGTCAAGTGATTTCAAAATGGGGCTAAATACTCGACTGGTACATGTCCAACCATGGACCAACTATTTGAAAAGACTGACCTCTTCATTCAGTGTCAATAGTCTGGTGGATTGACTATGGACAAATGTGTAGTAAATTTAGACTAGTTCCCGCTTCATGCCACATGTTTCTTAAATTCTTCTGGCATGGTTGATTGATGCAGTACTGAAGCTGTGTTGGACTGGTTGTTTTAGGTGCCAGTCTATTTTCTTGTTTTGCATGTTTTCAATACTTTAAGTTTTGGGACTCTCATACACAGTATTGAGAGTCCCAAATTTTCGGACTAAGCTAAACCATGCACCTTCAAGACATCCATGAAAATGTAGTTCCCTGTCAGTGGCTGCTCGCTGCTCTTGAACAAGGAGCCTATGGCCCAGGTCAAAGGTCGTCTCAAGAAGTTATTGACACCCCACGAAACCCACGTGCTGTTGACACTGCTGATGAAGTCGGCTGTGTTGACTATCTGGGCGTTACTGCGTTCAACAAAAGAGAAAACTGATTACTGAGGAGTCTTTGTTTTCATTATCAAAATGAGATGTCATTGAGCGCTTTCTAAACATAAAGGTCACCGATCTTCATTAGCTTATTAGGCCAAGTAAAATTAAATTAGTTTCTTGTCCCGTCTTTTTGAAAAGGGAAGGAGTGGCCCTGTTTGGAAAAACTATTGCAACTTGACGCCACTTCCGCGAATGTGTACAAAGTCTATGAAGAGTCAAGAAATGTTTGTAAGTACTTCCTAACAAAACTGGAAATGTTTCTCAGTCCCAGATTCATGTCTTATCATCATTTTTTTGCAATGACTGACCTTTATTGAGATAATAATATGAAGAAAAAAGTGGCGTCAGGTTGCACCTTCCAATATGGCAAATCCAGAGCCATGAATCAGAAAAAGAAGATGAAATACTACATACTAGCTGCAATTAACAAAATGTAAAACATTTAGACTTTGTTTGTAGTTTATTTACGCTTTAGAAGCACACTCACCATGCTCACCTCATAAATTAGCGATAGCGAGGAAGTTCCTCTTTTGGAAAGATTCCCATTTCTGGCCATCACTTATTTTCCCCTTAAATGACCTATATCAGAAAGTGATAATATGTCCTAAAAAGTCAAAATTAGGGTAATCCTTACTTTTAGGACCCCGTTCCTATATAAGGTTAAAAGACTCACCAAAACAACTGACTAAATGACACTCAAAAGTGACATTCTGGAATTTCTTGTCGTATATCTAAACAGTATGACGCCTTCTTGAATATCGGCAGGTTTAATTTTGTGGAAAGAGGCTGGCAGGGGCTTTGATTTTAGAGGGAAATTAAGGGGAAAACACGACGATGACGAACAGAAAACTGACTCAAAAACTAAGATGGCAAACTGCAAAAAAGGATAGGAAAGTCACATTTTCTTTGGAAGTGTTTTCAAAATTACAACTAGTTTGAATTTATCTGAAGAAAAAAGACTGCTTTAGCCTGCAAAAGTCACTTTGGTACTGGACAGTCATCTGCTAAAGAAGTTTTGAACAAAACTCGTAAAAAATAGAGGTGTCCTAAAGGTAAGGATTACCAAAATTAGCATTGACAAATTTTTATTTTTTTACTGAGAAAACACTTGGACATTTTCAGACCAGTCCCATAGGGTTTGTGCACAGGGTGAAAAGTGATGGCCAGATGCAGATACATGTATGGGAATCTTTACCCTCTTTTCTCAGACGTCTATTTTTCGGCCTTCTTTTCTTATTCTATTGCTATAAAGAGTGTGAGCAGGTGAGTGTGCTTATTCACGGACTAATGGAGGTAGTCCAGCAAATTGGCCATGATTTATGGAGCTCATTACAAAACCAAAAACACAGTGAGTTCGAGTGTGCTTCGCACTCCGACCGAGGCTCACTTTGCCATTTCTCGAAGCACCCTGTTAATCCCCATGGGAAGCCGTCCTTTCCTCCGGAAGCCCTCCACCATTCTTTCACAGTCCATCACGACGGATTTGTCCCTTCTGCAGCAGTCGCCGACCAGTTGCGACCAGAATTTCAGTTTGTTGTCCCAGTCGTTGGGGTTCACCATTCGGTTCTGACGAAAGTCCGAAAAGAGATAACTCATCCGTTCGTCGTCGCCCCAACTCGGCGGAAAACGGTCTGATTTCTTCGATTCCTCCGCCATGGTCGCCACTGATTTGATGCACTTCAATGCGTCAAGAACTTAGAACGATTCCTGTGAAATATCTTTAATGATAGTGGTGTAGAAACTGTCCCAAATCTGTTGTTTTTAACTACATTTTTACTCGAACTGTGGAGAATTTTGTAAACATTGATCAGATGTGAATTGTCTGGTCAACAGCTATGTTCTAGTTAACGGTATTTGAGGCGGAAACCAGATCAAATTGGCTTGCCCAACACGGAAGAATGATTTTTCGACTAGAGAGGGCGACATTCAGGCATCAAATTTAAAAAGTTAAAATTCCCGAGCCGGTTGGGTTTTAAACCGAAATAAAAACATCAGAATATTCTTTAATTTTAGGCACATTTTTGAGCTGAAATGGATCAGGTTCTATGTCATGGTCACGGTAAGTATCTTGTATTTTGCATTTTATGATGTACAGTGATATGTGAGGGAAATGGCGAAGTATTTTGTCATGTTTATGTGGGAAAGTCGAGCCAGCTGACTTTGTCCACAGATTGCCTGTAGTACAGTGTACTGGTTTTACGTGTATTTCCGACATCCGGCCAAATATTGTTAAATTAAAACTTAAATTTAGCCGGTCTTTTTGAAATTTAAAAAAAAAGGAAAAATTAAAAAAGTGAACGTGGCAATTTGCAAAAAAGGCCTTCTTGAAATTAGATTCATCATGTTCATTTCTACGGTTCCTACTAAAGTCTAAACTGCATCAACAAGCGTCAACAAGCATGACAAGCGTCAACAACCGTCAACAAGCATCAACGGTTGTCAACAAGCATCAACATTTTAAACAACAATATGCTTTTGAACATTAAAAAAAGTAGCTTTATATTAAGGCAGTGTATATTTTGCCGGAGACGGCTTTAGTAAACGTTAGTTTGCCGGATATGCACTGAACATGCGCAGTTGCTGTTTTTTTGTTTCCGGTGACAAATTTTAGTCTGGCTCCATGCCAAAAATATCGTTGTAACCTCGTATTCACAAGATGGGATTCAGACCATTTTATAATTTCTGACTTTATTTCCCTTTTAAAAAAATCCTCCAGAGCCACAAATCTGAAAAAGAAAATGTAATACTCTGCAAAAAAATGTTTGAGACATGTTAAAATAATAAAAGAAGAATATTCTTATTTATTTGGGGATGAGAAAAAAAAACTTTAAAATGTGCTGCGGTCGGAATCGAACCCGAGTCATCCCGCTTACTAGAGCCTTTGCTTAACCACTACACCAAACGTGCTACACAACTTTTGGTGGGAATTTAATACATCTTATAATTCAGCCCTATCTTAAAGAGTACAGCGCCCTCTGTTGATATGGATTGCCGCCGGCAAACCTTTAGTAAACGTTAGTTTGCCGTCATTACCTCCGGCAAAATATCCACTATCTTATATTAATTAATAATATGGTATTGGTAGAAAAAGCAAAAGAACATCTTCCGCATATCTACAATCAGTGACAATAAGCCTAAACTTAAAATTATTTAAAAACTTGATTTGATGAACGCGAAATGTACGACGAGTTTGTCGATTAGTGGTGTTAGTGTTAGCCGCCATCTTGTTTGGATGGCGCTGTACACTGTGCGCATGCGTAGTATGGCTCTGTACACTTCACACATGCGTAGCCTACTAGTACGGCTAGCTTCACGTAAACAAAATGGAGGCCACCCCAAACTCGACAAACTCGTCGTACATTTCGCGTAAAAAAAACCAGGTTTTTAAATAATTCTAACTTTATTTTAGGATAGGCCTATGCTGAATGTTTCCTTTGTCACTTTTTCTACCATAAAAAACATGATGTTCCAAAACTTATACAAAATTTGTTGGTGCTTATTGACGACCGTTGACGCTTGTTGACGCAGTTTAGTAGGACCGATTTTGATATATCGAATATTTTCGATATTGGATTTCCGATATATATCAATTCTTGAAAATTCTGATATCCACGGTGCTTACTTTGCACGGCGATAGTGCGTTCACCTCGGACATATCGGAATGTTTTCACTACGCTAGCCGGAAGTGACACGCAAGTTACACAATGTACGTTCTCCTATAGACCCTTGCTGAAACCTTTACAAGAATTTGTGTTTTAACATGTTCAATTTGTATTCACAGGGAAACCATGTTTCCTGAAGACGGGTACCAAGGAAGGACCTAACAAGGGGAAAAGCTACTATATATGTAGTATGGGACCAGGGAAGCAGTGCAACCATATCAAGCAAGCAAGGTATTTGTATATTATTCTTAACATGTAACTTATTTGGGCTGGCTGAAATATTTTGCTGCTTTCTGATGAATTGTACAGTATGTACTTGTATTTTTTGTAAGATGTACTTGTAAGTTGAGTGGGTAAATGTATGATTGGAGACATCGGATCTTTTGGGACCATTTATAATTTTACAAACATTTTACATATGTAGAAACAAATCAGATGTGCTCAGTCAACTTTTGTACTCTACCAAAACTGAATTCTAAACCTTCTGTTTGAACAGTCACAGACAGTCAAACATTCCATCCACTTCCCCTGCCATGCCTTTTACACAGGCTAGTCACCAACAGTCAGATCACATTTCAAGCAAGCACTGTGACTAGTCAAATTCAGTCAACAGACAAAAGCAGGCAACTGGTGGGCACAGCTGTCATATCAATCACCTACATGTTGCTGTATCAAGTAACATGTGAAGAGCCACAGCCAGTCAATCCATGCTGTATGCAGGCAGGGAACACGTAAAAGTTAGAAATTCACTAATTCACTGATTTTGACTGAAAGGACAACTTTGCACAGACTGTATGTTTGCTTAGTGAAGGAATCTGACAATATGCATTTTAATATTCAAACTTGATTGTGCTAGCCAAATCCCAAGAGGATGTTTTCAGGAGGAAACCGACCAAGTACCAATGGAAATATGTACTTTATTTTGTCCAAGCATTTTTAAAAAAGTTTGTGTATAATCTCACAGAGAAAATGGATGGTACGTTACTAGTACCAGGCCAAGACAAAGTATTAACTAAACAAGTACCAGTATATATTTTGGTATACACTATCATGTAGCCGACGAGCTTATGTATGTTATTATCCTTCTCCACACCAGAGTTGCAGTATCCCATTGCTTGGTGCACGATGGTGACGCTGTGGAGCTGCAGGCCCTTGGGATCAACGCAACGACGGGGGAGAGAAAGTGAGTATCCTGAGACTAAACACAAACAGTGTAGCCCATGGAATGGGCATTTTCACACCCACAGTGTGAAAATGCCACTTACGTAAAGCACTGTATGATTCACTTACATGTGTACTGTACCGGCATCCTGTTCCCAACTTCTTATTATCAGTGCTGTGTTTTTGAGTAATTTAGTACTCAATTATGGTCTAGATTTGTTCGAATATTTGAATAATCGAACATTGACATTGAGGTAAAAAATTATGTATATCATGCATGTATCGATATATTTTTTCGAGGTAGCTGACTTGCCAGTATTTGACAGATTTTAGAGTTGCACAATAGCCCTAACAGTCCCGAATCCTCCAATTTCAATATAATTTTGCACACCGCCTAGGGAGTTGGGGTTAAGGCTAATATTTTTCATGGGCGTTCTCAAACCATTCGTGTAAAGTGCTCACAAAAATGTGGCATTTGACAGCAAATGAAACCACTCAACTTATACAAATACAATTACGTCTCCGATGTCTTTTGTCATCTTCTCAACTCCAGCTTACATTTTTTAAATATGTAAAATGCTTTTCGGATATTTGCTGGATAAACCAATATTGGGATATTCGATATATTCGGCACAGCCCTACTTTCCTTCTTTATCTTTACCCTGTAGTCCTCACCTCCAGTGGCCATTGCCAGATGTTTTTAGAAGCATAATAATCCCATTCCCCACTGTTGTTGGCGTTCCTTCAAATATTGTTCCTTTTGCTTTTCCATTTTTTTTCACCCAGGCGTTACTTTCGGTGCAGCAAGTACAGGGAGATGAGTAAAGGATGGTGCGGCTCAGTTATGGTCGGTAAAATCAACCAGCAGGTGGGTTTAGTGCGAGTGGTTCTCAGTCTTGATTTGCATTTTTTTTTTTTTTTGAACTGGACATTTTGTCAGGCACGTGGAAGAAGGTCGGTAGGGCGAAAAATGGGTCAAAAGATCAAATTCAGATTTTTTTGGTAATCGATAGAGCATGGGAATATCTTTCATATACATTTTTTCTCAAAGGGTAACGTCAGTATTTAACTGTATGAAAAACACGGAACAAGGTTTTTCATTTATTTTCCCCGGTAAAAGGACATTAGCATGTAAAATAGTACCTAACAAAATACATGTATGTTCCAAGGGCGCTAACGTCCCACTGAAGTTGGTAGGTAAAGCCAAGTTTATTTCCGGCAAAAGGATGTTATAATTTCACATGTGGCTTAAGCGCATGTTACAGGCCGGGGGAGTTCCCTGTAAAAGGTCGTTAGCATAAAAATGATAATAACTTCAAAATTAAGCAATATTTTTTATTAAAAATGCACCATGTTATTTGAATTACTAACACAATTTGTGTGGTTTTTAATTTAGAAATGGGTGCACAAAACCTTTAAACTTGATTATCTCGAAACGTGTTTTTGTTTGCGAAGATGGCTGCTAACTTTCTTTTCCTGATAATTTTTGAAATTTCACACAATTATTTTTATGCAGATTGATTTTGCAGATATTATGAAAAGCCTTTGCTTTTCTTCTCCTGTCACCAAACCTCCCCTAAAGCAAAGTCTAAAGTGCTCATCCTTATCCTAACCCACCCAAATACTTTAAGCCTCCTGAAGTAATTTGAGAATTTCACAGGTTTGAGAAAGGACGAAGAGTCCGACTACCTTCAGTCCAAATTTGGACTGGTGTCCCTTGAAAGTTAAATTAAAAATAAAAAAGTTTGGAAGATTCAGGATTGTTAATATACAGTATTGATATAAATATTTTCCTCCATTCTGTGAATGACAGTGTGATGCCTTGCATCGTCAGCCATTGAAGGATCGCAACGGAACACAAGAGTCTCAGGAAAGGAAATCTGAAAAGGAGATCCCACAGAAACCCCAACAAAATGGAAGGGGCAGCACTAGAATGGAACACGCAAACCCTCATAGAGAACCAACCAGCCAACCCAAGAATCCTCCTAGCAGGTCGACCGTGACCAATCCCACTTCTGCCACCAAAAATTCAGGGGTCGCCGATGGCACGGTCAAACAGGGTCCGAGAGTATATCCTGATGAGTCAATGCAGTACACTGAGAGGGTACATAAAAGCAGCCTGCCTCCTCAAGGCCTGGCACTGAAGGACAAACCACTGCCGAAGTCGGTTTCTGTCCTCCGGTCAGAAATGGATGAACTGTCAGAGAGCTTTTCCTCCCAGATGGACATTTCTGGCAGTGATGATGTCTTCGTCACCAGCTCGGGTGCAGAAAAACCTGCACAGGGTCTTTCTACTACCAGACCGAGCAGTGGAAGTCAGGCTGCCATGGTTCATCTCAAGGAGGCAGGTCAAGACAGTGCCCAACAAGGATTAAGAGGGAAAGAAACACTTTCTCCCAGGGAGTTGACTGAGCAGCAGAAGGCGCAAGCAACTGACTCCAGAGGTGCTCAGAGGGCAGCAATCCCAGGGTCTACTGCTGTTATCTCGTCTAAGGCTTCCAAGCCTTCCAATCAGGTTATTGCTGGTGGACAATCCACAGCCAACAGCCAATCATCAAGCAGCTCCATCGCACAGATCCAATCAAAACCCACCACTTTCGCCAATGGTTCCCTTGCAGCCAAGGATGTAGTCCCTTCTGTCCCCTCACTAGCAAATAACCATCGAATTAACCTTGCAACTAAGCCAAAAGACCTACAAGTTGCGGCCAGCAAGCAGCAAACAGCAGCTTCCACCATCCAGGACAGACAGGCCAAGCCCGTTGATATCGTGGACCTCACAGCAGATGACCCAACCACAGAAGCCCGGACAGTCTCATCTAACAACCAAGCCAGACAGGCCATCCCAGCGACCCGTCCCACAGCACCCACTACGTCAACCTCCACCAATGGGCAGCTTAACCTCTTTCAGTCTTTTGGGAAGGTGACCTCTCAGCGAGAGCAGTTGATTCAGGCAGTTCAGAAGGACATGCAGCTCAAGCATCAGCTGATCAGAGATCTTGACAAACAGAAGGTGAGCGCTTATCACACCTTGTCCTAGACAAAATCTTTCCAACCAAGATTGAAAATTCAGTTATTATAAATTCATTATAGCGGAACATTTCCTCAGATTTGTTTTACAAAGGCAATATTTTGAACAATGAACAAAAAACTGGCTTATTAACTCAGTGTCCTTCACCTACCTAAAAAAGTGACCAGGTCTTGGAGGATTTTGTAGCAGGGATGTAGTCGAGCCCATCACAAGTCCAGTCACAAGTCAATCACAAGTCCAGTCACAAGTCCAGTCACAAGTCCTGTTGCAAGTCCAGTCACAAGTCCAGTCCCAAGTCCAGTCACACGTCCAGTCACAAGTCCAGTCACAAGTCCATTCACAAGTCCAGTCACAAGTCCAGTCACAAGTCCAGTCCCAAGTCCAGTCCCAAGTCCAGTCACAAGTCCATTCACAAGTCCAGTCACAAGTCCAGTCCCAAGTCCAGTCACAAGTCCAGTCACAAGTCCAGTCACAAGTCCAGTCCCAAGTCCAGTCCCAAGTCCAGTCCCAAGTCCATTCACAAGTCCATTCACAAGTCCAGTCCCAAGTCCAGTCCCAAGTCCAGTCACAAGTCCAGTCACAAGTCCAGTCCCAAGTCCAGTCACAAGTCCAGTCACAAGTCCAGTCACAAGTCCAGTCCCAAGTCCAGTCCCAAGTCCAGTCACAAGTCCATTCACAAGTCCAGTCACAAGTCCAGTCACAAGTCCAGTCCCAAGTCCAGTCACAAGTCCAGTCACAAGTCCAGTCACAAGTCCAGTCCCAAGTCCAGTCCCAAGTCCAGTCACAAGTCCAGTCACAAGTCAATCACAAGTCCAGTCACATTAAGTCCAGTCACAAGTCCAGTCACAAATAACAGTGGATGAACAATAACAAAGGAATGCCTTTGTCAAAGCTCATTTGAATAGCTTGTGAGTTGAATTGGGACTGGAGGACTTGTGATGGACTTGCAGGGACTTGTGATGGACTCGACTATGTCCCTGTTTTGCAGGATTGAGGGAGCCTGTTAGAAAGCCAAATGTTGCTTTCCTGGACTTGACACATTTTTAGAATACCCTGAATGGTTCCTACTGGCAAAAACAATCAGAAGGTTTGAATATTGTGCTAACTTTTAATAACGTCTTTTGTAGTGTTCATACATGTAATTTTGCAATAATTTAAAAAAAAAAAACCGAGCAAGCAAACTAACAAACAAACATGGTTGATTTTGCTGTGGTTTTCTTACATTTGTAACTTTATAAGTTGTTTTTTTACATCATCATTCTATCCAAGTAATGCAAAATCAAGAAACATGAAAGATTGAATAGTTACAACTGTCCAAGCATGACACAGATACCAATTCAATGTGAGATCAGTCTCAATCACAGATTCGTCTCAATCACAAAGCTAACATTTTGTGTTTTGTCGTCATTTTTGTTTCACTCCCCAGAATGTCGTGAAGACAGTCCCTCTATCGATGCTCCCAGACAAGGGGGCCAAGCTGATCCAGCGAGTGGCCTCCACAGAGGCAGAGCTCAAGCAGGTTGAGGCTAGAATACAGAAAGCCAGGATGAGCGGTGTGATATGTCTTGCTAACTTAATTTGAATGTACAACATTTGCTTTTGCTGTAATTTTCAGGAATAAAATGGATTTGGAGGAATAGTATGTAAATGCAAATATTGTTACACTGACTTGTTTCACGTTTTGGGTTTGTAGATGCTGGAAAAACCAAGAAAACCAATCATGTTCTTGTAGTCTGGTTCCCTGACCCCACTTAAGATGAAACGAAGCAATTTATAGACGTTGGGGAATTATAAGGTCAGAGAATCAGTCTAGCTGGCTTGTACCCCTTCACAGGTGTGTAATCAATTGCAAAGAAAATGCTGAATAACTAAATATTAAACATTAGGAACAGTTTTTGAGAAAAAAAAACAGTTTTCTCCAACGCTGGTCTGCCAACCAGCGTTGGAAATTGATACAAAAATACCACTTTACTTCAAAATGTCAGCACACCAGGAGCCATGATTGTACGGGATGCTTTAGACTGCCATTCCCTAACAGTCCAGTAAAGAATTTCATGGTAAATTCATTGATCATTTTGTTTTTTGATGTTTGCAAATATTATATCTTCCTTTTTATTGGGTTTTGAGCAGTGGGGATATCAATTGTAACTTTTACGACAAGAACAGAATGAGTGACAAGGATTTTGTTAAAAGCGTGTGTCAATTTTACTCTATTATTTTACCATCATCTGCATGAAATTTTTTCATGGTGAACAGAATCCGTTTGCAGTTTCTGTTCACAGGCGTAAAAGACTGTAGGATAAAATACATGTACCTATGAAAAATGTCAAAATCTCAGTCTACAATGTACAATGTACCCGTAAAAGGATGCAGAATGAATCATGATAATTATTGTAGGTTGTTTTTTTTTTTAACTCTGCAATGCATTTTCAACAATAAGTACTGCTTTGGAAGTGAAAACATTCGATCCTATATTAAAATTCTGCCGGACATGGCATTTTAGGCACACAAAAAAAGTCTCCGGTTTCTGGTATGGCGCTTGCCCCAAAAGTGGTGCGGCGACGTAGCCTTTTTTTTCTTCTTTTTTTTTACGTTTTTTTTCTTCCCTCAAATGTTGGCTGACTAACTTTAGTACAAATATATGGGAGTCCAGAGAGGCCACAAAAAGCTTATACTCGATCATAACCCCATCTAAAAACACGTTATAATTGTGCAGCAGCAGGATTCCAGTCAAACCAGTGAGTTTGGCGGTTTTGAGACATCATCTTACATTGGAAAAAACTTTTTAATTTTGCCAACGGACATGGCTATGGCGACGCGCGCGCATACCAGAAACCAGATACTTTTTTTTTGTCCTTAAAAAAAACCACTTTCAAACCCTCCTTCCTGCTACATTTTCCCCCCAACATTGACCAGAATTCTGGATTCTTCCCTGACTGTTTTCTTTTCTAATCACCCTGTTATTAGCCACCTCGCTGTTCTTGGTCTTTTGATACAGGGCTCTTGTCGGCAAATACGATGAACGGAAGTTACCAGCCAGTGACATTGACCTCAGGGCATCTCTTGCATCAACAGCCCTACATGGCCTACCAGACCGCTGGTAAGATACCTCATTCAAGGGCCCAAGTTCACAGAGCTGTTAATTGAGCATAGACATTTTCTAAGCATGGAAGGCATTTGCTAATGTAGCAATAATGAAACAAAGGTTATCGGCCACAATATGCAATCTGTATTGCTCTTGACTGGTAGTCAAATGACCTCTTTATAATTCAACTTGTGAGTAGCTTCTGATCTGACATTGGGTGGTCGTCCCATTCATCCGACTACAACTGTGTGTTGTTTGCGGTCTTCAGTGGTGTGGCCTACGTACTTCAATAATGTCAGGCTTTCAACTTTTCCTACTTTTCTTATTATTTTTCTGTTTCTGGGTTTTTGTTTTTTTAATTTTTGCCTTGCTCCTACATGTATTTTACCAACTTTTTTCTTGAAATTTCTAATTTTTTTCTTTAAATTCCTACTTTTTCCTACTGTTTTGTCCCAAAATGTCATTAAATATTTTTCGTAACAGTGTAACACCCTGTTACATGTATATGTAAATTACGCAATGAAGGGCTTGGGTGCAGGAGTACTGCAACAGTGCAACTTTACTTCCAAGAGCTTAGTTGAGGATGGAGCACAAGTGTTGTGAATACAGAACATGCCAAAAATGGGCTTATGATGCTGTGTACATGGGAGAGTGTCAACGAAAACTTCTCCTGAAAGCCCACAAAAGTCCTACCTTTATCCCTATATTTTCCTCAAAAGTCCTATTTTTGCCCTGTATCTTTGAAAATGTTGATCCTTTTGTTCTACTTCTTGCACCTGGGTCTGCTTGAAAGCCTGTATTATGATCATGTGGTGCTTATACATAGTGCTTTGTACCAAAGTCTCATTTACTTCCCCTGTTCATCAATTCAAGAGACCATTTTCTGCATCAACTTGCGATCAGTATAGCTCTCTATGTACCCTCACATACAATATATCTCTGGGTGGAAAGGGCAACTGTAGTACAATGTATTGCCCAAGTACACAAGCATTAGTGTTCCCCATCGAACCACCACACCATTGCACATGTGTCACTTACCATAACCATTGGACCACAGAGCTCCACATACTCCACATAACATTGCATCTTGTATTGTCCATCCAGCCCAGCCCCAGGTGCTTACGCTGTACGGCGGTCGCATGACAACCGTCAGACAGCGAGAGGTCGGAGCTGTCACTAAAGATGCCATTGAAAAACTGCACAGGTAAGCTTTCTCTTGATGTTGCACACATGTACTACCTGGATAGTCGTTTTTATTTTCACTGATGTGCACATGTGTAGATTAGCAGTTGATCATTTTTTTAATAACATATTCTGTTTATCTGGAGTAGTTGCTGTAGAAAGAAACAGTGTGTCTCTGAATGTGAGCAACCTTGATTGAAATGTCAAAAGTTGAAGAAAGAAAAAAAAAATACACATTTTGACAGAAGATTGCTTTAGATTCTTGATTATCACAGGCTGATCTTTGTTTGCACTTATTATGTACATGTACTAGGGTTATACAAATTTGTGACTGTGTATCATAAAGTCATGAAATGAGAATGCCACATTCCAACATTGTGACATGAAGAGCTGTACCACTATGGGCTCCGTGCGCGACCAAGAGAAGGCACTTATTTACATGTACCACTTTCGAGAGCCCCAGGAACAGGACAAGTTTGCACGCGTACAACGCAAAGTACGCACAAAATGATTTGATTCTGAATGTGCCATAGTGTCTCCAGGTGAGCGTCAGGCATCGTAAGCAATGCGTTCGAATGTCACTCCAAGTGGTCTCTCCCAACTCTCCCTTTCTTACTGTAGAGGGGGTACTTGTGCACGGAGCCCATTCTGTGAACAAACACGGACAAAACACAGGCTTTTTCACTCTCAATGCTTTTGGCTTTTTTTTTTAATTAACCTGAGCTGTTCTTTGCATTGCTTGGCCAGTGCATGTTGATTTATTATTCCCCTCCTACCCCCACCCCCCCTAATAAATATAAAGAAGTAAGTAAATGAATGAAATAAAAATAAACATAAAGATGAACATATTTCTGTTTCTTTTCTAAGCAATTCATTTGTAGGCTGCCCTCGTATTACTTGGCTACAGCTTGTAATTACACATGCGCCTATGGAAACAGCTGAATCTATTTTCCTTTATAAGGGCACGTCTCAATTCATATCCTTGACGAGTTCCGGACAAGTTGCAGACATCGTACCAGGTTATAAGTTGCAGGATTCTGAACAACTTCCCCGCAATCTTCCCGCAAATCAGTATAACTGAGTCAAGCAGTTGCCAATGAAAATTTTCCAAGAACATGTCCGGGACAAATGCAGAGCTTCTCCCAAGCAAAGTAGGTGATTCTACCCGCAACTTGTCCGGAACTCGAATAGAGACGGGCCCTTACTGCCAGCGGTAGCCAAGATATTCACACACAGCAACACGTTCTCTCAATGCAGCTCTCTGCAAACATGCCCCGCAGCGGACACAGAAACCGATGACCCCGAGGGGTTAAAGGTCAGCCTGATGATCCACCAACGGCAGGCCCTGACCTGGCTGATCTGGAGGGAGCAGCAGCATCCGTGTGGGGGAATTCTGGGTAAGTATCCATGACGACAGACTGACTCTGGAGACCGTCAAATATGGTTTTGAAAATGGCAGACAAGTACATCTTTTGTGCACATGTTAAAACAATGGACTTGGGTGATAAAACAAGTGCAAAAATCGCTGGAGGTTGATCGTATTGCTTCGTATACCGTGCACAATTTGAGACAGAGGAATAGACCACCCTACCCTCTCCCCGTGCCCAGTGTCATAATACCCTATGGGCTCCGTGTGCCAACAAAAGAGGGCACATTTTTACCACATTTGAGAGCCCCTTGGACGGTGTGCTGCACTGGTTCGCGCACGAAGTACGCAGGACTTATTTATCCTGAATGTGCACAAAGCTATAAGCCATATCATCTTCGCGCGTGAGTGTCAGGCGTCGTCGACGCGCGAATACGTTCAAATTTAACTTGCGATGGTCTCGCAGACTAATCCCCGCCCCCAATAACTTTGGATCATTTGAAACACACAGTGGATAGACCGGTATTAAAACCAGTCTAGGTCAACCCCAACTCTCCTTTTCTGGCCGTTGAAGGGTACTTGTGCACGGAGCCCATACACACTTTAGACTATTGTTACCTTAGAACACATTCCCTAGATATTTCACAATACATGTATTTCTGAGATTCAGAGAACACAATGACCCACACAAAAAGGGGTGGGGGTCCCCTAAGTCACATATCTTGTTTGAAATTTATTTCTTGCACCATTTTCATCCACAGCAAAAAATATAATGAAGAGTGAGAATTTTAGATACCCTTTCAAACTAATTATTAGTTGGTACATGTACTAAAAACACCTTGTAGTTTCAATAGTAGTTTAATAACAATTCACTATTGCATTCACACAGGGCCCTTGACCACACTGTCGTCAACATAATGGGTCTGCCATTTGTGGTACCGGGTCCGATCGAACACGGGTAGGCAAGGCATACCATTCACAATTATTACACTCGAGATTTGGAATTTCTACCAGGGTATAGCCTCTTAACCCTGGTTCCAACTAGGGCTGAGTTTTGGAGTAGAGCTTTGGACCCTCGTAGAAGCCATGTTAGAGTCTTGCTGATGTGATAATGGTTCTAGAACTATCAGGCTTTTTAAAAGGTCCAGCGCAGAGAATTGGGGATAATGCTGAAAGGACTTGGATAAGTTGGATTCAAACTCCCTCTCAAGGAGAGGAGACTTTTCAGGAAAATGGCAAAAGATGTCGGGCCAATGTTATGGAGAGCTCTAGCAACCTGTAAGGCAGTACATGTGATTGCTTGGCTGAACTTCCCTGTAATTCTGCAAATGTGTTCACTTGTCTGTGTTTATCTTTCACAGCGGATGACATGGGCCTGGGCAAAACCCTGACCATGATCTCACTGACTCTGTGGCAGAAACAACACGGTGATGCTGCTCCAGAGAAAGTACAAGATCCCCAGACAAAAGGTGAGAAAATCTATCATAAGGAAGTTGAAATTAGAAAGCTCACGCTTGAGTTCTTGAGCTTGGAGATCGCAATGTCAGTTGTTGCTTGTAAAGGGATAGTTTATCAGCGTTCTATTGATACCTTAAGTTTACGTTCCTCTAGTAATGGATGACGGAGCATCATTGAGTTAAAAACAGAAGCTGAAATCATTCTTCTGCCAAATGGACCTTTCTCAGGGGTACGCCATCTTGAAAATCATAGTGAGGCAAATAACGCAAACAAACATGGCAGTGTAAATATTGTGTGTGGTGAACGAGTGACTCTCGCAAAGTTGCAGCAGATTGACAATCTTATAAATGGATGGATAGCTCAGATTCCCCCGAAACATCAATCCGTATCCTAGGTAGGTCATGTCTCATTGCATTTTAAAGAAGGATCTTGGAATATAAAGCCTAAAACAGTGGCCGAACTGAAGTTTCCGTGTAGTAGTTAACGCCACAGCACCACTGTCAATGTCAGACTTTCTATTTTCACTTTATCATCCTTGGCGTTTTCTGAGCTGAAGTTGCATTTGTTTGGTCGGAAATGCTTACATTATAAGCCTATCCAAGAATTGCCATTCGCACAGGACCATCATTTCCCAAAAATAAGAGGAACTGGAGCCCAATACGAACATGGAAAAGGCTCCTCCATGCAGTCATTTCTCAATGGTCATGCCTTGTACCCGAATCATTTACACGCAAAACGATACGAGCCTTCAAGACGCTTGTCTGCTCTACTAATAAACAGGTGTCTCGAAGGCCCATATCATTTTGCACATAAACGAGTCGGGGTACAGAACATGACCGTTGAGAAATTTCTTCATGTAAGAGAAATTTGTCATGTTCGTATCTGGCTCCAGTTTCTCTTATTTCTGGGAAACGACATGTCCTGTGCGAATGACAATTCACAGATAATGCAGTACCCGCTGCTATATACATTAGATTTGAACTGGCCAACCGATACCGTTAGCTCGGTGTTCGAGTGGTAAGACATCTGCACTAGAAAGCAGGAGGTCGTGGGTTCGAGTCTCACCCGAGTGATTTTTTCCAACTTTCACTCGGGAGGTAACACACTGAGTATACAGTGTTTATACGTCGGTGAAGGGCAAAAACCTAATTTGATTTACATCACCCCGACACAAAATTCCATCTGATGAATAGTTAATGCGGTACCCGCTGCTATGTACATCAGATTCGAACCAGCCAACCGATCCCGTTAGCTCGGTGGTCAAGTGGTAAGACATCTGCACTAGAAAGCACGAGGTCGTGGGTTCGAGTCCCACCTGAGTGATTTTTTCCAACTTTCACTCAGGAGGTAACACACTGAGTATACAGTGTTTATATGTCGGTGAAGGGCAAAACCTAATTTAATTCACAGATAGATTTATAATGTAAGTAGTTTAACACAGAAGACTTTACATCCGCAGACCAAGGGTTCATCACTTCGCGAGCCACCCTAGTTGTGTGCCCCGCCTCCCTCATGCTACAGTGGCAGAAAGAAGTGGAGCGGCGCTGTGCACCAGGCCGCCTGTCCACCTATCTGTACCACGGCTCCAACCGCGAGCGTAGCGCCAAAGCCCTGGCCCAGTACGACATGGTCTTCACCACCTACAATCTAGTCAGCAAGGAGCTGTCTTATCTATCCGCCAAGGAAAAGGGAGATGAACCGGTGAAGGTAACTGAGCCATCTGTTGAAATTCAGCAGAATTACAAAAACATTTCCTTAACCCACTAGTTCCTGTACTGCCTTATACCATCCTGCATGCTGTGACTCAAACGGTTACAGCCCGATAGTCCGAAGGCTCGATAGTCCGAAGGTTCTTTGGTCCGAAGGGTTATCAGTCCGAAGGTTCGTTAGTCCGAAGGTTCAATAGTCCGAAGGTTCGATAATCGGAAGGTTCGATAGTCCGAAGGGCCCAATAGTCCGAAAATAGAATAAGGTTCATTAATCCAAAGGTTCGATAGTCCGAATAGATGATAGGGTTCGATAGTCCGAATTGAGAATAAGGTTCGATAGTCCGAATGGGCAATACGGTTCGTCAGTATGACACTTCGGACTATCGGACCTTACTGTTGATTCGGACTATCGGACCTTATTGCCGATTCGGACTATCAGACCTTATTGTTGATTCGGACTATCGGACCTTATAGTCTTTTCGGACTATGGAACCTTGTTGTCAGTTCGGAATAATGAACCTTCGGACTATTGAACCTTATTTTCGTTTCGGACTATTGAACCTTCGGACTGATTGACCTTATTTTAAATTCGGACTATTGAACCTTCAGATAAATGAACTTTCAGACTAATGAACCTTCGGATTAATGAACCTTCGGATTAATGAACCTTCGGATTAATGAACCTTCGGACTATTGCATCAAATGTTCGGATTAACAACCTTATTTCATTTTCGGACTAACGAACCCCCTCTTATGGAAATTTTGTGCATTCGGACTATCGGACCTTCGGACTTAAGAACCTTTGGACTATCGGACCTTCGGACTATCGGGCGGCCCCCGACTCAAACACTGTATGATTTATGGATTCATCAGATAATAAAAAAAAACCTGTAATACAGGGTGAATAAAAAAAACAACGAAACCCAGATGTAGGAACTATTGTTTTAGTGAAGTTCTGCATGTAGTACTTTCAAAATCTAGGATATGAAAGCCCAATTCATAAGCTTTCTTTAAGAACAAGAATCATTCAAATCACTCATGTACTTTTCAAGTCACGGAATTTTAAACACAACCACTGTTTAAAGTTCTGTCCACGGATCACAAAAAAAAGGCGTGCGTTCTTTCAGCAACACGAAAACAATTCACACACATCCCTATGAGATTTGTTTTCGGTTTGCTGAAAGAACACTTGCTTTTTTGGACAGAACTTTAAAACGGTGGTTGTGTTTAAAATTCTGTAACTTGGAAATTACATGAGTGATTTGAATGATTCTTGTACTAAAAGAAAGCTTGTGAATTGGGCTTTCATATCCTAGATTTCGAAAGTGCTACATGCAGAACTTCACTAAACAATGGTCCCAACGTTTGGGTTTCGGTTTTTTTACTCACCCTGTACAATGTAATACTAATTGGTTTTATTACAGTGTATCTAAAATGTGGATCTCTCAATACTGCATTGAGTATTCCAATACTTTGTTGTAACATGCAGTGCAAGTAGGGCTGTGCATCGGAACCGGGTACCCGACCACTGATGCCAGGAACTGGTTCCAGATTATGTGATTGGTTACCTGTAACCAACTTAACAAATTACTTTTGTAACTTCTCAGACAATGAAAAAGAAAGATTTTGAATGTCATCTGTGGAGACTTTCAAAAATGAAAACCAGGCTACATGGAAAAACAAAACAGAATCACACTTATAACAATGTTTGTGAAAATATTATTTACACCATAAAGCTACATACTGAGCTCGCTGCACACACTTGTATCTTGCTGTATTGACGCACCGATATGGTTAGTTTCATCTTGCGGACCTTTATGAAAAATCTGAACAGCAACTTATGAGATTTGAATTTTGGAGTTGGGGTTCTTTAACAGGTACCCAGGTACTTGTACCCGGGTTCCTGTACTACCCGTAAATGCACATCACTAAAATCCAATCAATCTTTGACCAAAACCGGGGGTGGGAGGGGAGTCAAAAAAGTGGGTTTTGAAATGCAGAGTATGACGTTTTTTTTCTAACCTGACGTAGGATGGTGCGAATCTACCCACTTCACAAGGAGAACACCCCCTTCTTCTCAAGATCTTCTGGGAGCGTATCATCCTGGACGAAGCCCACAGCATCAAGAACCACAAGAGCCAGACGGCTATGGCTATCTGCCGGCTACGTGCTAGGGCTCGTTGGGCTGTGACAGGCACGCCGATCCAGAACAACCTGGTGGATATGTACTCGCTCTTGAGGTCAGTCCAATTCGTTTCTCAACCTCAGGAGAATCAGATTGTTAAAGACATGCAGACTATTCCTTGCTCCCCAAAATGCATGACTCATGCACTTTTTTTGTACTCGCAGTTGATTTTTTTTTCTTTGAAGTCGCACAAACCTATATCATCTTTGCTTGAGCGCCAGACTTATGGCAGCATTACATACGGGTGTGTTTGAGTCCCTTTCAGTGGGCTCCCCTAATTTCTCTTTGAAACCGAGTGAGGGGATATTTGTGCACGTAGTCCATAGACTAAGTAGAAGTAAAGTCTGTCACAAGCCAATTTGGCCCATCAGGCCGGAATTTATCTCCAATTTCCTTGGCATGAAACAACTGAGAATTTCTAATCCCCCTGGATGGGATGCCAAGTCCATCGCCGGTTACTCCCCAGCTAATGCCCGTACCCATTTGTACTCCTGGGTGGAGAGAGGCAAGTGGGGATGAAGTGGCTTGCCTAAAAGGACACAACATATGGCCAGCAGCTGGATTCGAACCCCTGACCCTCTGATCATGAGTCACGAACCCTAGACACTAGGCCACACTCCTTATAGACTGCATGTACAGGTACCTGACATAAAATTGCAGGCTTAAACAAGCAAGTGACTATTTAATTGTTCAGATTGCTATGCGCTTTAATAAAAGGAGATTCACTGGCTGGACTGTCATACAGCTATGGTTTGTCTGTACAGATGTAGATGATTGATAAGCCGACTGCCCACGTACTGTTTGCCTGCCGAAAGTTAATTGATCTGTGATTGATCAAAAAAAGAAGACGTTAACAAATGTTTCAACATGTAACCAAAATGAGAACTACCACTCTGTGATCAAAAGTTGGGTGTGTTTTTTTAATTTTTTTTATTTTTATTTTTTAAACTCTGTTTCATTTTCCAGTGTTCAAATATTGATAATCGGTGAAATATTTGAATGGTCATTTGTTTTGCACAGGATTATTGTTAACAGCATGTATACTATTATTGGATTCCATCACGTTGAAATGAGATTTTGGATTGACTATTTATTTCTCTTGACCTGCTTGTGCAGATTTCTGAGATGTTCCCCCTTTGATGAGTACAAAGTCTGGAAGAGGCAGGTAGACAACAACAGTAGTAAGTCTCGTCATGTCTTCATTTCTCACAAATTTTTTGTCTCTATCCCCAACACTCTTTCCATTCCTTCCCATCTCACACAAAAAAAATAACAAGAAAGGGGCCACTCGTGTTGGAAGTGTTTCAGTGCCACACAAAGTATTCAAGAATTTGATATGGCACAAAACATATTAAGGTTGCCAGTAACTGCCACATGGGTCTTTCTTTAAATGTTGGGTCCACTTTTTGCCCTGTCTCTGTTACATCTGCCATCTGTGAACTTATAACTCTGACGCACTCTTTAATGCAGTCTTCCTCCAAGAGTGATTATAAATACCAAACTATCTATATTTTTGTACTTAACAAAAACACAAACATTTTTGGAAGTCATTCCTAATGATACTTGAATTACAACTTACAAAGTTCAGAGAAGGAACAGGAAAAATGGCACACTTTGGACCCTGAATTTACATGTATAGAACATGTAGAATGACACAAATGCAAAACCTATTCTACATGTGAATCAGCATTCACTGGAGTTCAATTATTTTGTTGTCAAAACAATGGCTCATATATGAGAATGAAAACGAATTTTGATTCAAAAACAAAGAACTAATTGCACTAGGCTTTACATGTATAACCTGGATGCTGATTAAAAAAGTACAAACATAAACATTACTAGAAACCCCCCCCCCCCCATTTTTGTTGTCAGTTTACTCTCCAATTCTTCTATTTGTAAACTGTTCATCATTTCATGCGCTTACACCTGTAATTATATAGGCTTACTGAGTCTGAATGTGATTTTTCTTTCAAATTTACTGTGCAGTTAGAGTAGGATGCACAAACTTTGAGCACAATACACAAACCAAAACTTCTCATGCCTCATGCCCCGTAAATGTGTTGAACGTGACAAATTTACAAGGGGGATGTAAGTTTGGGAAGAATTCCATATATGGACATCACTAATTTTTCCGAAAGCGATTACATGTACTAAAAAGTCAAATTTAGCGGGGAAAATATTTAAGCATTCACTGAGAAAATACTTGGAATTTTCAGACCAATTCCATAGGGTTTGTGCACAGGGTGTCAAGTGATGTCCAGGTATGGAATTCTTTCCACGAATTTTTTCGTCGTCCTTTCTGTTGCCAAAAATCAAATTGTCCAAAAACAAACGTTGCAGGGTATTAGGTCAAGGTTAAACCATTATATATGTCATGTTTTTCCGCATTTTTCCACAGGTCAGCATTGAGAAAAATCTGTGCAACCAATTTTTTTTCTATTGTAGAGTGAGTTTATTTCCTGCATGTTGACGGAGAATGCGTAGGCTACCTCATCTCTTGCCTTGCTTCCTCAACCTGAATGTCTAATTTTTAAAACGCTTTCACCACTTCCTTAGAATCTGGCAGCAACAGACTCAACGTTCTGGTGAAGAGCCTGCTACTCAGACGCACCAAGGACCAGAAGAACACAGCGACAGGCAAGCCCCTGGTGGCACTGCCTGAGAAGCGTTGTCACAGCCACCAGATAGACCTGTCTGCTGATGAGAGACGAGTGTACGACAAACTCTTTGGAGAATCCAGGTATTGAAGCATTCACTGAAATTATGTGCTGTATGAATATTGTGTATATATTGGATGCGATCGGTGGATTTGCGGAGCATTGCGTTTGTGCGATCGGTCGATCCTGTAGGGAATCTCAGACTTTAATTCCCTGTTTTAAAACCATCCTCCGGAGCCGTGAAATAGAAAGAAAAGTAGATTGACTGATTGCAGTGCGATAGACCTGCTATCCCGATAGCGCTGCGCGTTGACCCAATAACGCAGATTCACCGATCGTGCCCATAGGCCATCAGCCTGGGTGTTTGGTCAGTATCGAATCGGGGCATAAATGATTATAGTGCGCATGCGCAAGGTACATGTATATACCGCCCCTAGAGTGTAGGGCTGAGTCAATTCGAATAATTGAATATTCGAATGTTCGACCTTCCAATCGATCGAATATTCGAATATTCGGTTATTTGGCCATTCCAAATTCCCTCAAAAGCAAAAATATGCCATACATGTACATGTAGTCAACGTACGTGCGCACGTCAGCATGCCATGCATGATTTCTTCACAGGTAAGTCAGGTATTTGACAACAATCAGTTGTTCTTCAGTCGTCAGTAATTTAAAGATTAACAATAACCAGAGAAGCTAGAGTGAAGGATTCCTTGTTTGCATGGGGGACGTATTAAGCCGTGAACCCCAAACACGGCGGGTGGCGTCAGCTATTGTGACTCTCCGACCCTTAACTCGCAAACAGGAACCGAGCATATCTATTACTGGAAGCTTCTTGAAGTCTACAAAACGGTGTACTTCCTAGTCACAGTATTGAGGAAAAAAAAATCACTTTTATAATAATAACTCGCACTTTTGTCACCAAGAATTGAGGAAATGATTTTATATCATTTTAAATAAACTTATTCTCAACAACCAAAAACTCCAAGAAAAAAACCTATGATATTTAATGTCTTTATTCAATGAAATATGGGTCTTTGAATTGTAAATGCATATTTAAGTTTATGCAAATAATGGGCGTAGGTGCGGCATACACACGCCCCAGCTTGACACGTGCAAAGCAGTATTTCCTTGTTTGCCCACAGGGGATGTATTATAAGCTGTGTACCCAAAACACGAAGGGTGACATTTCAGCAAAAAAAAAAAAATCGCCAGCCGAGCTCCGGCGGGCGCATTGTTGGCGGGCTAATTAGGGCACAGGTGCGCTGACCCGGTTCTTTTGTCTGGCTAAGTGCGTGCTCTGGAGATAACTTTCAAACAAATAGGCCACTAAAAGGTTTGGATATTCCAACTTGCAACATTTTGATACATTTTGTCTAGCTGTGGTTTTCTATGCTGGGAATCCGGGGTACGGTGCGGTGAGTTGACTGCAAAGTCTGTCTGGCGAAATAAATGAGAGCTCTTTTGAGTTTGAAATCCTCTCTGTTGTCTGCCCTTTTTCTTGCGTTTTGCTCGACTTGGAGGACATAAGCCAGAGGTTCCCGCTATTATTACTGAAAGTATAATTGCTGAACTAGTTTTTGAAGTGTTTATGTATGTTTTATTTGTGCAAATACTGGGTGCAATTAGCAGACTAACCCAGCGAACAAAGCTGACGGACAGCGAACGAAAATGTGTTCGATAAAAGGGTGCTCTGATCAGTTGAGAGAACTAGTTCATTTTGTACATGTACATGTATATAATTACGGAGGCATTGAGGCGAACATCTAACAGCCATAATAAATTTACCCCTAAAAGTAAACAAGAAATTCTTTTAGAAAAATCCCAGAGTCCGTAACGTAAATGAACCAAGGTTTTCAAAACGTTTTAATGTAATGTTGGGGTTCATGACAAGTTTTCTACAACACCGCCACGTGCTGTGGGCAGCATACTGCGTGCAAGGCGATTCCCTATAACCACGTGCATTCGACACGATTGAACAGGCGATGGAAAACTTTGGGGGGAATTGGCTTCGCTGTATCAGTGTAATGTACCGCTTCTTGTGCGACCCTGTGCGAGCAGTACGTCCTCAAAATAAGTACATGAAAACGGAAAATACAAAGGCCCACACAGAAAAAAGAAATCAAGTTCTTTGCATGAGATTGCAGAGGTCTTCTACATCGATGTTGGCATGCCATTTTCGCGATGTCAATAGCCGATCCAGTAAGCCCCTCCCACTGCGCATGTGGGCAAATTAACACGTGCTCCTCTCCAATGCCACGCTGCATTTTCCTATGCTGCACACATGTAACACCAACGCGCGGGGAAACTTGCCAGGATCGCATCGGGGAAAACAGCGGCGGTTTTCTTTTGAAAGTAGGGATTGTAAGTAGGACAACAACAAACAAAAATACGGACAACGGAAACGTTACTACTCATGCTAGAAGTTTGATATGAAAAGGTGTCAGGAAGTGTTTTGTGAAGACATGAAAGACAAAATGTCTTGTTTATCTTGTCGGAAGCATCAGCGATTGGTGTTGCAGTCCGGCGTTAAAAAAATGGGTTGGCTTTACTGCAAGCACTCCCAAAGCAGAAGTAATATATGTATGGCATTATTGCTAAGGCATATATTTTGTATACAAGCTACTTTTATGGGTTTTTTTGGCAGCAACTTGAAACTTAACTTTGAGAATACACTTTTGTTGTTAAAAAAAAAAAATTTTCCACCTTTTTATTTCATTGCATATCACCACCGAATATTCTTATTCGAAAATAAATATTCGAATATTCGATTATCGATCGAATAACCGAAGATTCGAATATTCGGCACAGCCCTACTAGAGTGGTAACAAGCATTTTGATGGACATTTTGAAAAAAGGGTGATAACACCCAAAAAGCTGCCACCGCTGCAATGCTATCACATATTTTCCAACTCTGGAGGTGTATACCTTGCCAAAAATCGTTATGACGATTATTCCCTCATCTGATACCGGTGGCCAACATTCTAGACCGAAGGTGATGGCCTACCAGTACGTGTAGGTCTTATTACCCTTTCATTACTGAGAATTATGTTCCTGCATCCCTGAGCACCTTTGTGTATTACCTGCAGCTAGATATATTTTTGTTAAATGCTGTTACAAATTGTACGCCTAAAGTTCTGGTCCCAGGCCAATGCGGATTGATATAAGCGTTTTGTAGCTGCCTGTGATGTGGAGATTTCCAACTGTCTGAATGGTATTGAAAGGAGCTTGTGCTGTCTTCTATGGATGTTGCCATACTGCAATTTATTTCATAAAACACGCAGTGGTTCTCAGTTAAAGGGAATATACATCATTTGCTTTTGCTGTAATTTTCAGAAATGGATGGAATTGGGGGGTTGGAAATATAAAGCAAATATAGTTACACTGAGTTTTTTGAGGTTTTGGGTTCGAAAATGCTATAAAAACCAATAAAAACGATCATTTTCCTGTAGTCTGGTTCCCTGACTCCATATAAGAAGAAACAGAGCAGTTTACATACATTGGGGAATTGTAAGGTCAGGGAACCAGTCTAGCTGGCTCGTACCCGTTCATAGGTTTGTAATCGATTGCAAACAAGTGCAATGGTCAATTGGGGCCAGTATTTGAAAAAAAGCCAGTTGTTTCCAACGCTGATCGGCCGATCAGCGTTGGAAATTGATACAAAAATACCACTTTTCTTGAAAATGACAGTATACCAGGTGCCATAATTTTACAGGATGCTTTAGACTGTCATTTACCAACATCCTATTAAGGTATTTCGCAAAAACTTGGTAGTTTTATTTTTCGATGTTTGCAAATGTTGTATATTCCCTTTAATAATGAGTTCAAGGCACTGTACCGCCCAAGACCGCCCAAAACTGCCATACCTATTAGTGTAACTGAACAGCCTGGGACTGCACTAGAAGGTTGGTGGTACTGTGACGAGTACAAACAGTAGTTATACCAGTAGGTGTTAAGAATGGATTGACAATGTTTGAAAGGTGTTGCCCTTTTGTACAAGAGTTTTTACTTTCTCCATTTTTACACTGATTGGCTCTGGAAATGAACCATCTCAGTATTGTTGAGGAGTATTTTCACTTGCAGATTGACCACATGGCCCACTGTTCCATTTCCAAGACAAAAGCTGAAACATTATTCTCCTTCCCTGCTAGGTCCAAAGTGCAAGACTACATCAACTTCCATGAGGAGAAAGACAAGGCTCAAAGGTCAGGGGTCACTGGCAAGACACCAGCCCTGTTCACCAGCGCTGGCAACCTGCCAGCGGCCAGGGGCGGGGCCATGGGCAAGGCCATGGGCGGAGCCACGGGTGGGACCATTGGAGGCACTGCCCAGGGCCAAGAGCAGCGTATGCACGCCAGTCACATCTTGGTCCTACTGCTGCGGCTGAGGCAGTGCTGTGGCCACCTCAGCCTTCTGAAAGAGGTGAGGAGAATTGGAGCAGTCACCATAAAACTTTGGTTTTATGAATACAGAAGGGTCCAGAAAAATCATTGTTCAGTATAAAGGTTGTTCATTATGGGCTCTGTACACAAGTACCCCTTTAACGGCCAGAAAAGGAGAGTTGGGGGAGACCTAGACTGGTTCCCGGTCCATCCACTGATGTATTTCCATTGATCCCAAGTTATTGGGTGTTGTGATTAGTCTGGAAGACCATCGCAAGTTAAAATCGAACGTATTCACGCGCCGACAACGCCTGATGATGCTCACGGGCGAAGACGCTATGGCTTAGCTTTGTGCACATTCAGGATAAATAAGTCGTGCGTACTCTGCGCGCGAACCAGTCCCGTACGCACACGCGGTGTCCCGTCCAAGGGGCTCTCAAAAGTGGTGAAAACGCGCCCTCTTTTGTTGGCGCACGGAGCCTATAGTGATACCAGGTGCAATTTCAGCTCAGAAAACTTTGTGGATGGAAATGTGAAAATAGAAAGTCTGGACGTCTGGGCGGTGCTACTACACGTAAACTTAATCAGATACTTCATGTTGATTGATGTTTCTGGGAATGTGAGCTATCCATCTATTTATAAGATTGTCAATCTGCTGTAAGTTTTCGAAAGTCCCTCGTTCACCGTGGCACAATATTTAGGCCGCCATGTTTGTTAACGTTATATCCCTCGCTTTGATGTTCAAGATAGTATACCATGAGAAAGGTCTATAGGTCCCAAGTTGCGTTAGTTTAATTTGCCTTTAATGCTTTAGAACCCCCCCCCCCCCCAAAAAAAAAGGTTTACTCCTTGTCACAAAGTGTGAAATTTACAGTCGGACGTCTGTCACACACAAAAATGGGTGTGCCCAGTCGGAGTTTGCACTGTAAATGTTCTGTGACGACTCAAACATTGACTAGCTATACATAGCACATGTACATTCGTCTCAGCAGTTTTTGTGTTTCATTTCACCCACTGCTGTTTTAATCCACTTTAACCCATTAGTCCCTGTACTGCCCTGTATGGTACCAAACGCCCTACCTGTTGCTTCCTTTATCGCCAAAACCGCCCTATAACACCTCATCCACAAATTTTGTGTCTTGATTGGCCGAGAGCGAGTCACATGGTACTTTATATTTTTGTTATCTTTCAGTGCACAGCCAAAAGTACTATACCCATAGCAACCAAAGTACTATACACGTAGCAACCAAAGCACTATACCTGTAGCAACCAAAGTACCGGTGCTATACGCACTGTGTGCAAAATGCATAGGGGTATGTGTGTTGCGTTTGTGCGTTGCGCGCATTGTTTCCAAGAGCGAGCGCTACAGAGCTGGGTTCAAACATTTCGTAAAGGGGTAGTTTAATAGAAAAAGTGCAAGTTAATGTTCAACTAATGGACCGATCCAGTAAGCTCCGCCCAGTGCGCACGTGGGCAAATTAACACGTGCTCCTCTCCAATGTCACGCTGCATTTTCCTTCCGCGCGCATCATACGCGCCTGCACGCATGTCGGACTTTAGTGCACGCACGTCGGACATAAATCACGACTGTGATTGGTCAGAATATCATGGGGCGGTGCTTACTGGATCGGTCCATTTGGTATTCAGTTAGAAGTAAATTTTTATTGTATTCAGATTAAATTTATCATTGCTTAAAATCAAGCAGAATCTGTGGGAGAGGTGTTATAAAACAAATATTGACTGCTTTTTCGCCGAGGGAAAATAGAATGCTCCATGGATCACCAAGGGAGGCTAGTTTTACTACACCACTCGAAGCAGTCAATATTTGTATAATATGGTTTGATGGATTCATCCCAGAATAAATAGAATGTGAAACAAGTTGTTCAGGCCCTAGTGGGTTCATAGGCTGATACTTTTGTATCTACTTATTTCCAGGCCGTGGACACTGAGAGCTGTGAGCCAGAGGGCATTGACCTGGACGTGGTCGGGCAGATGAAAGAGATGACCATTGGAGATGATGAGGAGGAAGGATTGAGGAGAGGAGACAGGGAGGACAGGATCGCATCCAAACCATCCATCTTCAACAAGATGATGCCCAGCACTAAAGTCAGTGGGGAAATAATGTGATCTAATTGTTAGAAGCACTACATAAAACTTCCATCATCATTATTATCAATAATTACAGTAAGCGCCCATCATTTGTAATTTGTGCATTATGTTTGTTTGAGGCAACAAAAGTGCTCAAAATCTAAAGAAGGGTGCTGAACAGTTAACCTGATGAAATTTCAGCTCAGTTTTCAGCTGTGTATTCCGAGAAAACAAAATTCTAGGATCTCAATTACAGATCAAAAGTTGTTAAGTCATGTTTTGAATTGGGCCTGAATTCTGCGTCTGAGACACGTTCTCACTGAGCCGACTGTAGTTACCTGATGCCATGCACTGAATGGACAAATTATAGCAACGGCGCGCGTGTGCGTCGTGTCAACGTTTGCGCGCGCTTCGCTGAATAAAAAAACGAACTACTAATGGAAAGTTCCAAAGCTGCGTCTTTAGACACATCGTTGGAAAGGCTTCCTTCATTGATTTCTTCAAAATGACAGCTTGCCAGAAGGAATATTTTCACAGGGAGTTTAGTCCCATTACTATCTTTAAACCAAGTATGCTTTTCAACAATAATTATGTCAGTTACTTTTTGGATAGCTGCAAATGATGGACTGTACCTTTAACCCATTAATAACCTCTTCCCTATTCTGCTCATTACAAGTACCATGATGATAACTTGTTTGCGTCTCCCCATTTTTCACAAACCAGATTGCTTCAGTGCTCTCAGCCCTGCGTGAGATTCGTCGCAGCAGTGGCAGCAGCCAGCCCGCCTCCAGCAAAACCCCGCCCATCATGAAGAGTGTCATCATCTCCCAGTGGACCCAGATGCTGGACGTGATGGCAGCCCACCTGACGCGTGCCGGCTACCGTTACTGGAGCATCCGCGGCGACGTCCCACCAAAGAAGCGATCCGAGGCCCTGGAGGACTTCAACAACAACCCCCGGGGGAGGGAGGTCATGCTGGTCTCGCTGCGGGCCGGTGGGGTCGGGCTGAATCTGATTGGTGGAAACCACCTGTTCCTCCTGGACATGCACTGGTAAGAAACTCATAACCTAGATAGATTAACCGGTTTTGAGTCAACTCAAACCCAAACCAACTCGGTACCGAACCAACTCAAAACCCAGACCAACTCGATCCAAGTTCAACTCAGACCTAAACCAACTCAGACCAAGTCCAACTCGGAGCCAGACCAACACGGGACCAAGTCCAACACGGACTCAGACCAACTCAGACCCACGCCATCTCGAACCCAGGCCATCTCAGGCCCAGACTATCTTAGGCCCAGACCATCTCAAACCTAGACCAACTCTGACTGAATAGTTGCCAAAGTTCTCAGTTTCAAGTGAGGCTGAAAACCCCTGTTTTACGTTATTAAGCGTAGCGCGCACTGTGTGACGCGTTAAAATCAGTTGTTAAAAAAAGCAACGAGCATACTTCCATGTATCCATATTGTACATTGCGCTCTCCGTGCTGCGTTATCCTACGTTTTCTGTACTGCATTATCCGTTGAAAATGTATACACTTCAAGAAGCGATTGAAACGGATGATGCATCCAATAGGCATGGGACTTTTTGCCTGCAATTTAAAGAAACGATTAGGTGGAGTAAAAATATATAAATATTAATGATCGGCCTAGAAAGGAAGCAGTTTGCATGTGAATCTTATTGAAACAAACTAGGGCCTGCCTCAATTTTAATTTTTTAATTTTCCGTTTTTCATACCCTTTGTTTGTTCTTGAGAAGTAAAATCTTGTCATTGTTTTTTTCGTAAAATGTGTACCTTGACGAAGCTAATCCAAATTTAATTGAGACTGGATTTTTCTACCCAAAATAACATCTGCGTGCTCTCTATTTGAGCTTTTACGTCCATCAAGTGTGCAACGAAATACACATGGATTTTCTGAGTACGCATCACGGATACACAACTGGTAAACACACAGCGCAGCATGCACATCGAAACTGGACACTTTGATTTTCAGCCTGAAAGTCAAGTCCTTTTTTTCAAATTCTCGGAAATCTATTAGCATATCTCTTTGCCCAGATACTCTGACCACTCTGTTTAATTTGTCAAGTTCAATTTGTGTCACCTCAACATTCAATATATTTTTGTTGGACTCAGGAAAGGGACTCGATTACAGCAGTGGCAACTCGCACGAATTTTATCCCTTTTTTTGTGGCCACAGGAACCCAGCTTTAGAGGACCAAGCCTGCGATCGGATCTACCGCGTCGGCCAAACCAACAACGTCTCCATCCACAAGTTTGTCTGCAAGAACACCATAGAGGAGCGGATACTGGAGCTGCAGAAATCCAAATCCAAGCTGGCGTCCGATGTCCTCTCAGGGTATGTCAATGCTTGTTGTGTTTGTATGTCTGGTGAGCTGTCTGTTGGTTGGTGTAATAGGGATTGTCTGGATGTCTGTCTGTCTGTGTGGGTGAGGGTCTGTGTGAGCCAGTGGGCTGTGTGGGTGACTGTCATCTTAAATCAACTGCAGTGCAGGAAACCAGTGGCACTTTCTCTGTACCTTTAAGTACAAAGAATGCAGACATTTTTTGAAAAAAAAATAATTGCTCCATTGAAATAAAATATGTTAGGCATTCTGGCAAAATAAGACAGAACTGGGCAGAGATCGCAATGTGGGTTTTAGGAAAGACAATACAATCATCCTTACAATATTTTTTGCTGCACTTCAATCGGAAATTCCGTTGACAAATTAAGGTTTGCATTTTGCATTTATCAACACGTAAAAAGAGTAATATTCTGAGAAAAAGGCCTGTAAAATTTGAGTTTTGTAGTTGTGAAAATGAAAAATGCCAATAGTTTTTCCTTAAAAAACACTTTTGTTCCATGATTTTTATGCTATTTCATTGAAATATGTGTGGCAGGCATGACATATTACAAACACATACATGTGTCAATTAATCTGAAAATCGGAAGAAATCACACCTTTCTTTTTTTGTTTTTTTTCTTCATTTTCCTGCACCATGGCTTGTGCCCAGTTCCGTCTCATTTTGCCAGAACGCGTCAAATATGGTCCGATGATTGGTCTGGATGTTTGTATTTAGCTTATTAGATATTGAGTGGGAAAAAATAGTAATTCTGCCAGCTTAACAATTTGAAAAAAACCTTTTGTATTGACGGCAACTTAATTTGAAAAAGAAAACAAAATTGCTGTACGCACAATCACTGAAGGAAAGGACTCCTGTGTTGAAATCAAATAAGGCCTGCATTATTTAAGTCACATTTTATTTAGATTTACTGGGAATACTACAAATTTAAAGGGGAAACAATCCAACACAATTTAAATGTTGTAGTAAACTTCACCATTCTGATAGAATAATTCCAAAAGGCAAATTGAATATTGCAAATCCCTCTTTTGATTTACGGTTATGATTTTTTTTTTATTATTTTTTTTTGGGGGGGGGTGGGATGCAGAACTCGAAGCTTAAATGGGTAGCTCTCGAGGAAAGATTGTACAGAAAGAGATGGAAGTCATACTGATAAATGATTTGTGTTTGTTTTTCTTTTTCCTGTTACAGAGCAAGATCCCAGAGCCAGAAACTGAGCCTAGCAGACTTGCGTTTCCTCTTTGGAGTCAATTAGTTGATCAAGCAATGAAACAGTCGACAAGGTCAATTAAACAAATCTAGGGTGCGCTCCACTCAATGTCAACATGTTTACATTCTTTAGATATGCCCTGTAAATGTGCTCACCCAAAATGGTAATGACGATAATATCCCCGACAAACTGTTGTCAAAATAACGACGCCCTATATGCCAATCCTGCAAGTGTCACTGTTTGGAAAGCAGCTTCTAAAATCCCTGAAAATTGAATTGTGCATGAAGTGAAATGTTTCCGATAATACATGAATTTACTGGATTTGCAGAAAGCAGAAAACTTAAAGGTAATATACAACATTCGCAAATATCAGAAATGAAAACTACCCAATTGTTATGAAATACCTTACTTGACTGTAAGTGAATAATAGTCTCATGCATCCTGTGAAATCATGGCACCTGGTGTGCTGTCATTTTCAAGAAAAGCAGAATTTTTTTCAAGTACTGCACCCAATTTACCAAATTTTGTTACTCCAAAAGCCAGCTAATCTGGTTCCCTGAGCTGACAATTCCCCGACATCTATAAATTGCTCTGTTTCGTCTAGAGACGGGTCAGAGAACCAGACTACACGAACAGCATTTTTTTCTTGGTTTTTCCAGCATCTATGAACACAAAACTTTCAACAGTTCAGTGTAACAATATTTGCTATCAAATACTAACCCCCAGATCCATCCATTTCTGAAAATTACAGCAAAAGCAAATGTTGTACATTACCTTTACGCTAGGACAGAATCATTAAGTTCTTTGCATCTGTCAGCCATTTTGGAAAACATAAGTAAAAGGCTCAGGAAAACCATTAGCCTTTTGTTACTAATGTTTGCCAACATTTGTGACAAACAGTTGCTCCCACTCGTGCTCACGGTGCCAACTTTGCCCAAACATTAGCATTGTTCGCTGAAGTGGAAAATACCCTTCATTTGAAACAACAGGCCAATATGTCAGTTTGACATAAATCCCACATTCCTTTAATTCTTTCGAATTTAGTTATTTCATACTGAAAGCATTTAACTAATAAAAACCCTTCCAAGTATGTTTTGTCTTTCATCACAAAACTAATAGGGTACTGTATATATATCATGTTCATTTTTTTTTATTAACAATTATTTTTGAAAAGTGTTTTTGAACATTCAATTCTTTGTCATATTTTCATCATGTAATAATAATTAAAATTCATATTGCGCTGTTTCCATTATTAAAAATTATCAAACGCACATAACTATTTTTTAAAAATTCAAAAAAATTAGAAAAAAAAACGCTTGTACTAACAAATGTACTGAACAGTTTGTTGTAATTTCGTACATCGTCTTGGTTTCGGGTCATTTTCTGGCTACTTCCATCTAATTTATGATTCTTTTATTAAATAGTACATGTATATTAGAGAGGATTTAAACTTCATTTGTCTCTCTTATGTTTTGTTATTTTACTTGTTCGCACAAGTACTAAATTCAGTATTAGTATTTAAACTATTGGTGCGGATAAAATGCTATATAAAGTAACTGCTAGTCCTGTGATATTTCATATTTAATTCTTTATATTTAATTGTGATTGGGAACATGCCCCATAATTTTGAATGGAGAAATCTGGAATGTATTCAGTAATCATGTCAAGGTAAGTAGATGCAATACAGGCTATCCAATTTCAAAACAGTTATCACATTAAGTTCTACTCTTAGTAAACATACATGTAAGTACACTAACAGTTATGTGTAAGCCATATGTATTGGATCAATTGCAATTCTTTTAAGTTTTGGGTGCGAATAAAACAGGAAAATACTATACAGACTTATTCTTTGAAGTTTGCTACTAACGTCAGTGTATTGTGATTTTTAGAGATGGTTTACGCTTATTTGCTCTTACAACATTTAACAAACCTATTTAAATTTTACAAAATACTCAGAACTCTCACAGGTGTTCAGGCCGCACGGAAACACCTGACCCCCCAGTACAAGCCCCTGCAAGTTGGACCCTACTACGCCACTGAATCATAAAACATGTACATAAATTGCTTTCTTTCTTTCACAAAACTGAAATTAATTCAGTTGGATTTTCGACAATGAAAAACAATCATTTCCAGCTCTTCGTACATAATTACTTACCATCTCATCAGCCATCCTTTGAATTTTTTTCTGGATGACGCTGCGACTGTACAAGTCTATTGGTCCGGTTGAGACCGGTTCCCAGCCAAATTTCTCTGCCCGCCAAAAGCTGTGAACTTTCACTTGTTCATGTAAATGAGCCAATGTTAGTATAACCCAATCAAATTGATCAGACTGACAAACTGCGATCACCCCTCACACTTCTGACCAATTGCAGTTGCCCGTTTGCATTACGTCACCAGCCACTATCGTTTGATTCGCATTTCTAAAAAAGAAAGAAAGAAAGAAGTTGGCCCTCCAGTTTGATTAACGATTACTTGTACATCATAAAGTAATGTGTAAATTGTCAAAATTGTTAGTGAACTCACAAGTATCCATTGGAATGCAGCAACGTTCATGGTCCATGGACTACATCCTCAGGTATGGGCCTATATAGCAGCACCAGGTACGCCGCACTCTGCCTCGACGACCACCAGGACCGCTACACGACAACGCGCCATTACCTTTTTCCCGTTGATGCCAGGGGCCGAGGCCCTTTATCTCTCCAAAGTGCTGCAGGGTGAATGGGGTTCATTTTGTTGACAAAAAAAAGTATTTCGCAGGTCAACATTTTGGTCATAATGTCAGAGTTCAACCTCATGATATATGCCCCCCCCCCAAAAAAAAACCCCACAACACGGAATGGCATCAAGCCCGCTGGAACAAACTTTTGCGAGGGGGTGCTGGAATTTCTAAAGGACGGACAAAGTTAATGCGAACGCGGAGCGCAAAGCCCTTACGGCGTGGCTTAAAGGGCCCCTAAAAGTTTTGGAATATGGATGCTCTGTGGTGCAATCTGAGGCGATTTCTGGCCACTTTCATATGACTTTTTTAGCAAAACGTTTTTTGAGATTATAAAGACAATTTATTTCACTTTTTTGTTTAGAATATACTGTTGCTCTTATAACGTTTCTACTGTACTGAAAAGTCGAAAACCCTGTATTTTTATCTCCATTTTTGTTCCATTTAATTCTTGAAAAAAGAATTGTATCATTATGCATGACATCGCATGTAAATATTTTTGTTGCTAGGCTGCTTTCTTATCATTAGTAAATTCCGTCGTGTATGTTTTGTTTTATTTTCCGAGCCCTTACGGCGTGGGGCCACAGGGCCAGGGGCCTGCTTTAAGGCCCCTGAAAATGTTGGATTCTGGATGCACTGTGATGAAATATACTGAAGTATATACTTAAACTTATAAAACCCGAAAGGATTTTTTTTGGTTCAAGTTAAAACAAAATGGTTCCACTGGAAGCGGATGAATTTCTGTTCATACAAAATATTCACATAGGCCTAAACGATGTAGCTCTTGATATATTTGCAGTGTTATTTGTTTGTTACAGGGAATGGCAAATATAAAAGACTAACAGACCAAATGCATCTTTATGTTTATGATCGGTATGTGGCAAGTTTGGGGCTAGGCAAGGATTTATCGGTCTACTGAGTTTTTATGAGAAAAAAACTTGCAAAGGGTAACACATGAATAGCTTTTTTATTAAAACGAAACTACACTGGAACTAGTTTCAATGGAAGCCCGTCCCACTCCTATTAGGTTGGGATGTGTGTGAACCTTGCTATTTGTTAATGTTGAGTACAGAATGCTAGCAACGTCAATGAAACTTTTAAATGAAAAAAAAAAACCTTCAGGGGAAAGGTATGAACATTTGCCCCTATTGAAAGATCGAATGAAAAAAATCGTGGCAAGTATAATCAAGTTTACCACCATTGTCATGGCTGAGGTTATTGCTTTAATGTCAAAGCTTCCATCATGGCGGAAATATCATAGACATGTCATGATTTTAGATACATTGAGAGAAATATCGATTCTGCACTGCCTGAAGATTTAGAAAATACCTCCTGATATTTTACAGCGTTACTTTGGACTAGACGTTCAAAGCGCCGCGCTTAGCCGCGGCAAAACTAGAAACGAACAAAACGAAGGAGATATTTGTAGAGCAAGCATAATGTTTAGCGCAGCGGCGCAATTTCAACGTCGTAGAACACTGCTGGCTGGAACACATTTTTGCCCGGGAGTAGGGGGTGCTGAAGCATATTTCAGCACCCCAATCCAAAAAGTTGGGGGTGCTGCAGCACCCACAGCACCCCCCGTTCCCGCGGGCTTGAATGGCATACTACCTTGAGATGCAACCCACCTGTGCCAATGCCGGATGGAGAATCTTTTTAGAAGAAATATGATACCAACATCTCCCGATTCGCTCCAGTAGTTTTTGCTGCAAAGCCTATTTTGTGAAGCTCACATCTTATGATGTTGGTATTATTACATAACAATTAACCCCTCTATCCAATAGGCGCAGTTTAGTCATTCATCGGGACAAAATTACTCCCGGCCTTGTTTCACAAAATAGACTCTAGTGGAACAAAGAATCACAACACAAGACAACATAATGTGCAAACCGTGTGTTTCATTTACATGTATTTATGATTGCATAATGGTTAGAAACAAATACAAATGCACACTATAGTTCGATTTGTAAAAAAAAAAAAAAAAACCTTACACCTCCGATGACAAACTTTATTATAAAAGACGACACAACTTTAACACTGTTTTCAAATTACAGTCAAATTAAAGATGCTGCGTCTCAGTAGGTCATCACCGAGTTTTTAAACCATGATGTGTACAATAATAGTTAACAACTTTACGGCATATGCAAACAAAATTATTTAACGCTAAAAGAGTTTCATTCTTTTACATTCGTCCAGTTCTTGGCAACAGATGATTAAAAAAATATTCGCATTGTTGAAAGAAAATTTATAAAGTCTTCTCCGCTTCATCTCAAAACTGATGATGAAATTCATACTATTGGGAGTTAGCAATGTTTAATTGCAATCATAACCGGAATTTTACATTATGTTTTGGTTGGTATACTCACTTCAGATTTCAACAACGAAGGTCAGAGAAAAAGTTGATTAATTTTTTATCTAAAAATGGTACTTTTCCTCAAAACTGTACAGTGGGACGCCGCTATAACGAACATCGTTGGATCCACAGAAAGTGTTCGTAATAACGATCGTTCGGTATAGCAAGTTTGAACCGCCGGTCCTCTTTTGACCATTAATGAACTGGCATTTCTCGAGAGTGGTTTTCCCTTCTATTCCTTGGGGAAATAATAGCCATATGTCGCTCTTCAACATTCAAACACGATGTAACTATGGATCGTTTGATGTTCGGGAATTAAAAGTGGCCCAAATGGTGTTTAATACAGGAAGATTTTTTGGTTAATCTTTTGACTTTTTTCAACAACAATGTTCGGTACGTTTTGTACATTAAAACCGGAAGCCAAGGATGATGTTCGGTATAGCCGAATATTCGGTATAGCGGTGTTCGGTATATAGCGGGGTTCCACTGTATCAAGAATTTGACCAGTAGTTGATAAGCTGATCCGTCAAAACCAATTTTGGAAAGGTATTTGGGCAAAATGTGCAATTTTCCTACAAGTCTTTCGGTATTAGACAACAAAGGCCCGATCACAACAATGAACCGACCCTTGATGAGGGTTAAATTGCACCTAGACCAGAATCGTTATTGTGAATTATGTGCGGCTCTGTGAAGATTTGGTTAAATCAACCATCTTAATAACGTTGTCTATCTTCAATTGTTTTAATGCTGTTTATTGCTGGGCGAGCTTGTGTGTTTATAGGTTTGCTCGTGCAAAGTGAAGCAAATCAGAAACGCTCTGAATGCCCGTTGGTGTTGTGACGACTGGAAGGTCCTGCTTGCCGGTGAACATGGCGTGGAAACCTGTCTTATAGTGCTTCCAAGTGACTGGCACTCCGGCCTCCTCCAGTCGCTTGGCGTACATGATGCCGTCATCCCTCAAGATATCATACTGGGCGGTCAGGATGTAAGCCTCTGGTAGTCCTCTCAGGTCTTCGCGCATGAGAGGAGCGTAGTCTGGATTCAGGAGAACCTCTTTGATCTCGTTGTAGATACTTTCATCCCCGAAGTCAGTTGAAGGTGCTTCGTAGCCCTTCTGCTTGAACTCGTCCGGGATGAGATCGTGCGAGAGGCACTTCTGTACCAGCTGGGACCTCTTCGCGGCCGCAGAGGTGTGGCTGTTGGTCCGCATCGCTTCACAGTAGCTTGCCTTGTTGCCACGGAGATACGAATCCCACATGAATGTCATGAGCGGCCTGTCTAGCAACAGTGTCTTGTAGTCGCCATTTTGCTGGTAAGATGGCGTCTGGAAATCGAACGCCTGAAGGCACGGATAGAGAAGTATCTGCAGCTTAATCTTGGGGAGGACAAGATACTTGGGGTCAAAGGTGAACCTCTGTGACACAGCCGCGGCCAGGTTCCCGCCTGCACTGTCTCCCATTAAGGCAACTCTGGCTGGATCGACATTGTACTCGCTCAGATGCTTCAGAAACCAGACTGTAGCAGCTGTGCAGTCGTCTATCGCAGCGGGGAAAGGGTATTTGGGCGACAAAAGGTAACTGCAAAATGAAATAGACAGGATTGAATGACACAAGACATTCTTTAATTAATACAAATTCACGTCCCCTGACGATTAGCAAAACTTGTGAAAAGTGGATCATGAGAAATAATGGCGCTAAAATAATGTGTGAAATTTAATGTTTCAATCTTAATGCCTCAAGAAAGGATTTTAATTTTTTTTGGCGGGACTTAGAGCTTACTCGATAGACACCACAACAGCATTCAGTCTTCTTGCCAGCAAGGCCGTTATGGGATGATGGGTATCTGGAGGTAGAAAGGAAGCGTGTTGCAGTTTTAAATTTCTGTGGAGTGCCAATATACTCAAATGATGATATGTCCTAGGTATTCTTCATCAGTGTTCAACGAAAAGTGCTCCCTCATCGACTACGGGTCAGGGGCCGAAGACCGAGGTGACAGGGAGAATTTCTTGGAAAACTGTTTATGCACCTAGAATTTCCGACGATTACCCAGAATTTACGCCTGAGATTTGTGACTGCATCGATAATAAGTTGGACAGAGGACAAGAGAGAAAATACTTTCAATTTTGATTCGTTACTGAATGATGGTTGATTCCAGTGATCCAACCAGCAACGTCGCCAGCTCGCCGGGCACTGGGGAGCACTATACCTGCTAGGGGGAACACCACAAGAAAAAAAAACACATCCAACTACTAAACAGAGTACCACTCACCCAAGTTTCCACTTATAAACCCTCCACCGTGATAGTACACGATGGCCTGCCGTTTATCGGTCCTCCCTCCTGCTGGCCCATCGTCGAATATCCGGACTGGTACCCGGTCGAACACCGCGTGTCTGTACGGTACTTGCGGCTCGGTTGCCCGTGACACCCCCGCAGACTTTTCCTCAAGCCACTGGTTTAAACCAGTCGGTGTCCACCATTTCAGATAGGGTTTCTACATCATAAAATTCAAGACACAAGACAAGTCTGAAAGTCGGTCCCAGACAGTACAAACTTCTACTCAGTGAGGTACATTTAGTAACAAAAATGCTAAGGATCGTTACACAGTGGACAAAAGCACCATTTTTTTCACCAAAGCATCTCCATGGTATACCTTTTCGAAAAAAAGACGGACGCAAACAATTGGATGATGGAAAGGGCAAGTATGACGTCATTATGACGTCATCAGCTAATTATTACATGAAAAAATAAAACTTAATAATAATCTTCAGAACTGCAAGCATCTCAACAACAAATTTGGTATCAAATTAAAGGGGACAACAAGATCTTTCATTTGAGTGGTATGTCATTGGGATGGAATATAGTTGAGGGTGATTTTGTGTTTAAAAAAAAAACCTTTTTGGTCAAAAGACCTGTTTTTTCGGCTAAAATCATGGATTTTGGGTAGTCACTTTGACACCTTGTTTTAACATGCAAACAGTATGTGGTATTGTGAGATGTTGTTTTTAAGTCACAGAGAAAGGCTCAAATTCTATGCCAAAAGAGTTTTGTAATTGATTATTAGTATCTTAAATGTTTAAACTTGTTCCAAAGATAAGCGGAAAAGTGAGGTACCTTAGTGATAAAATCGTGACACGGGTGGACAAAAGCACCATTTTCACACCAAAGCATCTCCATTGTTTACCTTTTCGAAAAAAAGGTAGGATGCAAAAAATTGGATAATGGGAAGGGCCATTTATGACATCATTATGACGTCATCGGCTAATTATTACACACTTATACATTAAAATTGAGATATTAGTTAGGAATAAGCCATGGATCGTTTTTTACATTTAATATACGTTTCTGAGATCAAGTAAATCAGTGCAGTTGCCAATTTTGTTCTTAGACTATCTTTAAAAGATTCAAATACAAATAGTTTGAAAAATGAAGGATGTTTCCTAATTTAATGTATTAAATTAAACATGTATGTACATGTACATTTGACCCTCGCTCCTATCCCCTGTTGTGATCAATGAATCGTTAAAATGCAACGTCTTACGTCATGATTATCTCACTTGAAATGATTACCTCAGGAATGATGCCACGAGGCATTATTTTCCACAAAAGTTTCTGTCCTTCGGCTCCGTATTCTACATCAACTGGCAATGCATTTATTGCCCTAAACCCTTCAACATTAGCCAGGAATTGAGCATATACTTCTCCGGCGTTACAATTTAAACCTTTTGTGGACAACGTAGTTTTTCTGGTGTAGTTTGCATGCAGATAATGCAAGCAGTCCAATCCATGATGACTGTCCTGAAATACGATAGTAACAGTTCACGAAAGCAATAAAAAGGTAGAATGTTCAAACCAATTATACGTTCCAATGTTGCAAAATAATACGTTTTGTGGAATTTTGTAAACTTGCAAAGGTATATTTTACGCAAGATGAATTATATCTACAATTTCTACAAAGACTTCTGTTCATTTTTACCAAAATCTCTAACAATTAATAAACAAGACTACAGATGAGGCTTTTTTAAAGATTATTTATTTGCACGATCTCAGTCGCAATCCAGCTTTGTGGAAAATAATAAGAAAGGATAAACTGCTCACACAGTGGACCTTCAGAAATGCTCTGCTCGTGTCACACAGAAGATGATGTCTGATGGATACTTCAATAGGATAGACGGTCCATCAACGACAAGGATGGTACATTTATTCGAGAAACACACCTGTGCTTGTGCATCATGGATAAATGTTTGTCTTTTTCACGTCCTAAACTAAAAACCTTTACAAACTGCAGGACATGACTTGCTGCACTGGTATTGTGTTTGTAATGGTTACAGCCCGATAGTACGAAGGTTCTCTAGTCCGAAGGGTCATTAGTCCAAAGGTTCGTTAGTCCGAAGGTTCAATAGTCCGAAGGTTCGATAATCCGAAGGTTCGATAGTCCGAAGGTCCCATTAGTCCGAAAATAGAATACGGTTAATAAATCCGAAGGTTCGATAGTCCGAATAGACGATAGGGTTCGATAGTCCGAATTGAGAAAAAGGTTCGATAGCCCTAATTGAGAATAAGGTTCGATTGTCCGAATGAGCAATACGGTTCGTCAGTATGACTCTTCGGACTATCGGACCTTACTGTTGATTCGGACTATCGGACCTTATTGTCGATTCGGACTATCGGACCTTACTGTCGATTCGGACCATCGGACCATCATAGAGTCTTTTCGGACTATCGAACCTTATTGTCAATTCGGACTATCGAACCTTCGGACTATTGAACCTTATTTTCAAGCCCGCTGGAACAAACTTTTGCCACGGGGTGCTGGAATTTCTAAAGGACGGACACAATTAATGCGAACGCGGAGCGCAAAGCCCTTACGGCGTGGCTTAAAGGGCCCCTAAAAGTTTTGGAATATGGATGCTCTGTGGTGCAATATGAGGCGATTCCTGGCCACTTTCATATGACTTTTTTAGCAAACGTTTTTTGAGATTATAAAGACAATTTATTTCACTTTTTTGTTTAGAATATACTGTTGCTCTTATAACGTTTCTACTGTACTGCAAAGTCGAAAAACATGTATTTTTATCTCCATTCTTTGTTCCATTTAAAGGGAATATACATCATTTGCTTTTGCTGTAATTTTCATAAATGGATGGAATTGGGGGGTTGGAAATATATAGCAAATATAGTTACACTGACTTTTTTGAGGTTTTGGGTTCAAAAATGCTATAAAAACCAAGAAAAACAATCATTTTCCTGTAGTCTGGTTCCCTGACTCCATTTAAGAAGAAACAGAGCAGTTTACATACATTGGGGAATTGTAAGGTCAGGGAACCAGTCTAGCTGGCTTGTACCCGTTCAGAGGTATGTAATCGATTGCAAACAAGTGCGATGGTCAATTGGGACCAGTATTTGAAAAAAAGCCAGTTTTTCCAACGCTGATCGGCCGATCAGCGTTGGAAATTGATACAAAAATACCACTTTTCTTGAAAATGACAGTATACCAGGTGCCATGATTTTACAGGATGCTTTACACTGTCATTCAATAATAGTCCAGCAAGGTATTTCAAAATGATTTGGTAGTTTTATTTTTTGATGTTTGCAAATGTTGTATTTTCCCTTTAATTCTGGAAAAAGAATTGTATCATTATGCATGACATCGCATGTAAATATTATTGTTGCTAGGCTGCTTTCTTACATTGAGTAAATTCCGTCGTGTATGTTTTGTTTTATTTTCCGAGCCCTTACGGCGTGGGGCCACAGGGCCAGGGGAATGCTTTAAGGCCCCTAAAAATGTTGGATTCTGGATGCACTGTGATGAAATATACTGAAGTATATACTTAAACTTATAAAACCCGAAAGGACGTTTTTTGGTTCAAGTTGAAACAAAATGGTTCCACTGGAAGCGGGTGAATTTCTATTCATATAAATATTCACATAGACCTAAGGCCAAAAAAAAAAAGTCTCCGGTTTCTGGTATGGAGCTTGCCCAAAAAGTGGTGCGGCGACGCGGCTTTTTTTTTTTTTTTACCTAATTTTTTTGCTTCAAATGTCGGCTGATGACTGCAAATGGTGCCCGACGAAACTTAGTGCAAATATATGGGAGTCCAGAGAGGTCACATGAAGCTTATTCTCAACCATAACCCAATCTAAAAACACGTTAAAATTGTGCAGCAGCAGGATTCCTGTCAAACCAGCGAGTTTGGCGGTTTTGAGACATCATCTTTCATTGAAAAAAAAACTTTTTCATTTTGCCGACGCGCATGGCTACGGCGACGCGCGCGCATACCAGAAACCGGAGACTTTTTTTTTTTGGCCTAAACAATGTAGCTCTTGATTTATTTGCAGTGTTATTTGTTTGTTACAGGGAATGGCAAATATAAAAGACTAACAGACCAAATGCATCTTTATGTTTATGATCGGTAGGTGGCAAGTTTGGGGCTAGGCAAGAATTTATCGGTCTACTGAGTTTTTATGAGAAAAAAACTTGCGAAGGGTAACGCATGAATAGCTTTTTTATTAACCCCTTAAGGACGGGGTGTATAATGGGGACATTCCTCCACACATAGAGCAAGTGGCCCGCATGACTGCACAGCCTTTGTGTGGTAGCGGGACTGCACAAAAGCAGCAGCTGTGGAACTACCCACTAGCCGTGTGCCACGGCATACCACAGCTGGCAACTGCATTCCAATGAGGATTAGCGGCAGCGGCCATGACCGCTTCCTGTACGCATGGGGTTAAAACGAAACTACATTGGAACTAGTTTCAATGGAAGCCCGTCCCACTCCTATTAGGTTGGGATGTGTGTGAACCTTGCTATTTGTTAATGTTGAGTACAGAATGCTAGCAACGTTAATGAAACTTTTAAATGAAAAGAAAAACCTTCAGGGGAAAGGTATGAACTTTGCCCCTATTGAAAGATCGAATGAAAAAAAACTGTGGCAAGCATAATCAACTTTCAGTTGCCACCATTGTCATGGCCGAGGTTATTTTTTTCGGGTCAAAGCTTCCATCATGGCGGAAATATCATAGACATGTCATGATTTTAGATACATTGAGAGAATATCGATTCTGCACTGCCTGAAGATTTAGAAAATACCTCCTCCTGATATTTTACAGTGTTACTTTGTGCTAGACGTTCGAAGCGCCGCGCTTAGCCGCGGCAAAACTAGAAACGAACAAAACGAAGGAGATATTTGTAGAGCAAGCATTATGTATAGCGCAGCGGCGCAATCTCAACGTCGTAGAACACTGCTGGCTGGAACACATTTTTGCCCGGGAGTAGGGGGTGCTGAAGCATATTTCAGCACCCCAATCCAAAAAGTTGGGGGTGCTGCAGCACCCACAGCACCCCCCGTTCCCCAAGGGCGGATCCAGAACACAATTTTGGGGGGGGCCAAAAAAAATTTGGTCCCCCCCAAAAAAAGTGGGTCTAAAAAAATACGGCGTGGGGTTCGGGGCCCGTCAGGGCCCCGAAAAAATTTTGGATTCTAGATGCTCTGTGGTGCGATCTGAGGCAATTTCTGACCACTTTAACCATTTTTTTTGAGGAAAAGATGGTGGTGTACTCATTGCCTGCCTTTATTGCGATGTCACATTAAAAAAAAAAAAATTGGTTTCGTTTTGGGGGGGCCATGGCCCCCTTTGGCCCCCCCCTGGATCCGCCCTTGCCGTTCCCGCGGGCTTGTTATTTTCGTTTCGGACTATTGAACCTTCGGACTGATTAACCTTATTCTAAATTCGGACTATCGAACCTTCGGATAAATAAACCTTCAGACTAATGAACCTTCGGATTAATGAACCTTCGGATTATTGCATCAAATGTTCAGATTAACGAACCTTATTTCATTTTCGGACTAACGAACCCCCTCTTATGGACATTTTGTGCATTTGAACTATCGAACCTTCGGACTAAAGAACCTCCGGACTATTGGACCTTCGGACTATCGGGCGGCCCCCGTTTGTAACACATTGTTAAAGGACGTACCATCACCATTTCCGGCCACTTAATCTATTTCAGGTTACCACGTTCCTTTCTGTCTGGCTCCTAACCCATACCTCATTACCCGTAATATACAACCCATATAAGAATGTTACGTCTTCCAGCTATTATAGTAAATGGTCAAAACAAATGGATGTGGTAAAGACCAAATTCAAGGAGCCGCACAATTTCACACAATTTATTTTCTGCGTGACAAATACCGTCATTGTAGCACTTTTGTCCATAATCAAGAATGCTTAGATTTTTCAAGAAAATTTGAAAATAGTGACGTCACTGCAACAGCAAATCAGCTTATTGTTACTTAAATGTCACTGATTATATCACTCTTCAATTCCCTGACCCTCAAAATGTCAAATTAATTACTTGGAATCTCATCACAACGCTTCACGACCTTATTTTCTACAATTAATTACAGCTCGGTAGTATATTGTGACGTCATAATTACGTCATAAAGTACTCTTCCTGTCATCGGATTTTTCGCATCCTACCCTATTTTTGATCGTAACACATTGGCAAAGCTTTGGTGAAAAAATGGTGCTTTTAAATACCATGTAACGATCCTTAGCATTTTTGTTACTAATGTAGCTCGCTATAAGATGCCTCACTTTTCCGCTTATCTTTGGAACAAGTTTAAACATATTTATGATACTAATAATCAATTACAAAAACTCTTTTGGCATAGAATTTGAACTTTTCTCTCGAACTTAAAAACAACATCTCACAATACCACATACTGTTTGCATGTCAAAACAAAGTGTCAATGTGACTACCCAAAATCCATGATTTTAGCCTAGAAAACGTCTTTTGACCAAAAAAGGGTTTTTTTTTACCCACAAAATCACCCTTAACTATATTTCATCCCCATGACATACCACTCAAATGAAAGAGCTTGCTGTCCCCTTTAATTTGATACCACATTTGTTGTTGTAATGCTTGTAGTTCTGAAGATTAATATCAATTTATATTTTTTCATGTAATAATTAGCTGATGACGTCATAATGACGTTATACATGCCCTTCCCATCATCCAATTTTTGCGTCCGTCTTTTTATCGAAAAGTTATACCATGGAGATGCTTTGGTGAAAAAAAATGTGCTTTTGTCCACTGTGTCACGATTTTTTCAATAAGGTACCTCACTGTTTGATAATGGGCAGGATTTGTCCCATTCGTTTGGCGTTACAGGGTAATCTCATAATATAGCACTGCGCCCGGCGCTTGAAGCGATGTTCTGGTTAAGTTTCATTTGGACTCAATTGGGACCCAATCGACCCATGTCTTACATTGTTCATAATTAATATCTTGGTTTGTTTTTCAGTTGAGATGGTGGATAAATGCATGAGTAAACGGTTTCCCGATGATTGATGTGAAACCCTACATGGGCAAATATATAGGGCCTGCATGACTTTGAACAGTTACTGTTCCCGCCCCTTGATAGCAATCATAGTTAAGTTCAATCCCTTGTTATTTACAACCTATTGCACCCGATATTCTCAATTAAATTTAAACTCACCAGATTGCTCCGGAGTGACGACATTTTCACGGCCCAAGGCCTGTCCCCCACATCGTCAGGTACGGGTTCCAGAACCACGTAGGCCGCCACCGCCACGACAACGACAATAACTGCCACAATTATTAACCGAGCCATGTTTGCCTCAACTTCCTGGTGTTCAGGGGGGTCATAGGGTGAAAAATCAACAGGCTTCAAGTACTACATGAACAGCAGATAGGCTTTTCCCAACGAATAATGGAGCAGTTTAATATATCGTCGGTGTTTTCACGAAGTGACAAAAACCTCAATATCACGCAAAAAGGTCATTCCGAGATAATCGCCTTTGAGGTTAATCATTTTTTCAAAACACCCTTTCGACTAGTTTTTAGTTATGGATTTAAGAAATTCTTGCATTGTCAAGTAACGTATGCTTTGTTCTTTGCTAATTCAAAGTTGTTTATTAGGAGTCTCTCTTAATTAAACTGTAATTCATTAATAAAGATCAATAAAAGTTTTTTTTCACTTCGTGAAAACAGCAAAATACAGAGGCCTCACTATTTTGTCCCATTAAGTTGTACACACTCTTTGTCACTTCGTGAAAACATAAAACGTTCTAAGAAATTGCTACATTTGCGCGTCTGACGTCACTGCAGCGCGTGCGCGTCTGTTTTTTTATCGACTTCGTTCACGTCGTGCGCGTCCAATCCCATCCTAACGCGTGTGTAGAACAGAAAACACGGATTTTAGGCATTTTGTCAAATGTTTGTTTACGATAATTACAAAAGTAAACAATATTTCGCTTTGAAACTCAGCCAAATTCTTCCTTTTGTCAAATGCAATAAATTGGTCGGCAAAACTCAAAATCGTCGGTGAAAACATCGACGATATATGCTATTATTCAGTGGGTTCAATTTGACAACGAAATCAATCGCCAACTAATATACAAATATTGAGTGGCTCAGCGTGGAATGGGAGGAATATTATCGCAAGGTAAAATCTGGACTTTTCCATTTCATGAGGAGAAGCCGAGTGAACTGGAAAAGTCCAGATTTTACCGAGCGATAATATTCCTCCCATTTCACAATATTTAAAGCCACTCAATATTTGTTTTATGTAACTGACATATAGATCCTTGTCATTTGATATATTTGAACTTTTTGTTTCAATACAAAACTGGAGGAAAATGTATTTCTCTCTTCCAAACCACCCCTTCACGAAAATGTTTGAACCCAACGCTGTAGCGCTGGCTCTTTGGAACAATTCGCGCAACGCTGAACGCGCTCACCAGCATGCATTTACACACAAATACCGCGTCATGATCCTAACTGTTGAATAGACCGCTTGCAGACGCGTTCGATAATCGACGCGCGAAGTCGCGCGACGCCATGTTTTGGGACAAGCGTATATATATCCATGCACATTTTGTCCCACAACATGGCGTTTGCACCTTCGCGCGTCAATTATCGATCGCGTCTGCAAGCGGTCTATAGTATTTCCATTCCCCATTAGCCTTTCGCCAAGGCCATCGTAGCCTTTAGTCAGGTCCCACGCGCCTATACCCGGACCATCCGGACACGTAACGCACCCTGGATGCTGGCACGTAAAAAGACTAGCACAAGCGGCAAAGCCGCTACGCCGCTCGTCTTAGTCTTTTTACGTGTCAGCATCCGGGGTGCGTCACGTGTCCGGGTAAGCGCGTGGGACTTGACTAAAGGCTAAGGCCATCGTGGCTTAGAGTGGCGGAGCTGCGAAATACACGAAGCGACTGGAGCAAAGATTAAGTCAGCACGTACGAGTACTGGACACTTCAACCTCGTCCCCAGGGTGTCGAGCAGTACGCGCCCACCACTACCTGCTCTCTCACCCTGGTATTGGATCATTTGCATGTGCAAGATTTTTGCACACGTATGCAAATGAGGAACAGTCTGGTGCCTGGATATTCGTTACACATTAGCGTTTGTTTTTGTATGCAGTGTCTGGGGTAAAAACAGAGTCAATTCGTAGCAGCGCGAGCACGGCGTGAGTTACGAAAACACGATTTTTGAAATCAAACTGTTACGATCTTATCGAGACAACATGCAGTATCATATTTCATATTAATATGAGCAAATTAGAAAGGAAATTAGTATTTTCGAGAAGGCATGGACGAATGATCGCGAAAACACGTACTGCACGTTGTGAATAATAGCACCAAGTACACGATAAAAATCCATTACTAGCCAATTGCGGTATCCAATCAGGATACAGGAAGAAAGTTTCCTATCCAGGGTTTACTATTGGAAACCGGGGGGGGGGGGTGGCACTATCTATACCATTTTGGGAAATAGTTACTTCATACGAATGTCAGAAACTTTTAGGGCTTTTTTTTCATCTCGAGGAGGCACATTTAGGCTCGATCGAGGGGGCACATTTATGTCTGCAAAAGGAGCACTTGGGTGAATCGGGGGGGGGGGGGGAGGGGGGGGGGGGGGCTCATACCATACTTTCAATGGGGGCGCATGTTCAAATCAGACGATTATTAACACCGATCACAGAATAGTACAGCCTGTACATAATCCTTAACCAAGCTGCCTCTGTTCATATTTTGTGCCTGTAATTACCAGTAAAAAAAAAATTGGTGTCAGAGCAGGGGGGTTTTCTCATTTTTTTGGGGTGCTTTTCTATGGAAAGCAATTTTTTTGACAGAGCTGTTTTTTTTTTGGACCCCCAAACCCCAACCCCCCTGGATCCGCGCTTGAGATAAGCTAGGACGGTATAGTTTTTTTAAATTTTTTTAAATTTTTTTTTAGATGACTTTATAATAATGGCTCTCGAAAGCGCCATCAACTGTTCGTGAACGGAGATTGACGCTCAACTTCGAAATTGGGCGAAAACTTAATTTGGGAATTATTTGTTCAGATTAGCTGGTACTCTGCTGTGGACTTTGATCAGCTAACTGTGCACCAGTTCGAGATTCGCGCGGTGTCGCAATAAAAACACACCACACGTGTTTGATCGAGCAATCGAAGGCCGGGACGTTCGTAATCGTGTGTAGAGTTCATGCACATGTGGCGCTGTGTGTGACGGCTTGATTTGATTTTCCTTATATTTCATTTAAAAGAAAAGTAGCAAAATGTCAAAAGAATTCTTTTGGGGTAAGTGTTTGCATCAAATGGAAGGAAAGATTTCTATACCGGGGCATCATGTCATGCATGATGAACTGGTCTGAAATAGGCATGCCATGCATGCCATGCATGCCTAGGCATGCTAGGGGCCTAGGCCTATTCCAACTTTTCAAGTGTTTTCTCATTAAGATCATACTTTCATATTAGTAAGATTGATTACTAGGAAACCATGCTTCATATTTTCCCTGGGCCCTGCTAAATTAAATTTTTAGGACACGTTATCGCTTTCTGATGGCCGCTAGGTCACTGCCAGTGCCATGCTGGAAAAATTAGTTTTAAATGTCATGAATGTCCATGACCACGTACGGAATCTTTCCCATTTGTAAATTACACATTCATGACATTATGCAGTGGCTGTCATTACGGCAGTCGACGGTCAAGTTCCCAAACCTGACAGCATTCCACATCGGAAAGATTCCCATCTCTGCACTCTGGCCATCACTTTTCAGTTCATGATCATCCTGTGCACAAACACTATGACTTAGTTAGAGACGTTTTCTGACATTGTCTGATGGCCGATACTGATTGATAGGTCACTGCAGGAAAAATTACCATAGCCCAAGGCTGGACTCAAACCCGCAACCTGTGGAATTACCCACAGACTACGAATTCAGTGCTCCAGGCTTCGAGGCCACAGCACTCCACAACAAAATATATTTAATTTAAGTTATTGTACATGTACGTGTATGATACATCGTTACTTGTTTTGATACGTAAGTCGTTCTTCTGCACAAGGTTTCAGCTTGGAGCATACGTACCAAAGGGTGCATACCTATGTTCCCCAAAACCTATGTTCCCTAACCCTAACTATCTAATTCTAACCCTAACCCTAAATCTAAGGGTTTTGGGGAACATAGGTATTGGGGAACATCCGGTAGATCCCCATGCCAATGACAAATAAGGGCCCCCCCCCCAAAAAAAAATTCTGCTTCCGATTACATGACATTTGAAAATAGGGTAGGTAGGTTCTGGTAGGGAATTTTTTGTTCAGCCAATTTTTGATGGTGCGCGATAATATGGAGGCATTTGGTGTGTAGTCAAGGGCAAAAGGTACATATATGTGTAGAAATGGATGGTTTTAGGTGTTATTTTCTCATTTTGGTTTTTGGCCTAATGCATACTTCTCCATTTATCACTTAATGTCTATGTAGGAGACTCATTGACGGGTACGAATAAGGAGGTCAAGTGGAATCCGTCCCTGGATGATGAAGACGATTTTGACAATCTGGACAGTGATGGTATCCAGCACTTTCTCTTCCTCAAACAGGTGAATAGAAAGCTTGCCAAAAACACCCTCAGTGTGGATAAGTTTTTATTTAAATTAAGTGACTGTGAGAGTACAGAAAGCGAAAAGAGTTCCATATTCGGCCACCACCGCATATGCACTCTTCATTCACTTGGCTGCCTACATGATTGGATGTACGACTGATGCATGTACACAGTACCAAAAATTTGGCGTGAAAAACACCTATTCCTCAGATGATTTCAGTTTTCCCAAGCTTTAACCCTAACCCCTGGGGAATATTTAATAGAAAGTATCCTGAATCTGCCAAAATCCATCAATTTTGCCATGCACAAAAATTTTGGTGGCCAGTGAGTCCATCAGAATCCACCAGTTAGCCGGGAGTAAATCTGTTGAGATCCTGAATCCATCGAAGTCCCCCAACTGCTCAATATGAAGGTATCGTGAATCCATCAAACTCCTGCAGTACCGCTAGGCTTCATGTCCTGAATCCATCAAAATCCATCAAAAAGGTATCTTGAATCCGCTGAATTCCCCCGAAACAGGGGTGTGGATTTTGGTGGTTTTGTTTGTGTATGTTTGCAAATGCTGTGCATGAATGTATAGGCCTATTACCTTTAATGGACTTGTTTTAAATAAAAACACAAGGTGGGGTGAAATGTGCTATGTTTGGCAGCGAATGCGTGGTGGCCAGATAGAGAACTCTGTCTCAATAAGTACTCATGCATATCATAGAACATTTTAGACAGGTCTGCCCACAGTGATTGCGCCAGGGATGTAGCCAAGTCCATCACAAGTCCAGTCACAAATAACAGTGGATGAACAATAACAAAGGAATGCCTTTGTCAAAGCTCATTTGAATAGCTTGTGATTTTGAATTGAGACTGGAGGACTTGTGATGGACTTGCAGGGACTTGCAGGGACTTGTGATGGACTCGACATGGACTCGACTACATAACATTCCTGCAGGGCGCTTTATGCAAGCTTTTTATAAAAATAGAAACTTGTACATTTATTCACTCGTACCCCTCGTCCTGCAAACAGGACGCTGGGATACTCTGATGAGCTTCACAGAATCTTGTGAAGGAAATGGCCTATGACCAATGTATAAAGCATCTGGCTGCAGCTGTTCAAGACCGCAGTTAGACAATGTGCGCAAATGCTATCCGAAAACTTCCCATAGAATTGCGCATATTCCATACCGGATGTGATTTCTGTTTCATTGCGGACCATGTGGACAAAATTTTCAGCGTTGCATAATGCAATCCGACCGTTCGTGATTCGAAACGGAGTCTGAGCGAGTGACGGGAATTGTAAATTTACAACACAGATAAGTTTTACAGAATTTCCTACATTTTTACGCTTTTTAACGAGAAAAAAACATCTCTAAACTGGAATAAAAGAGTAATGAAACAGTCTTAACGGCCGTTTCAAACCTTGCAGAGTCACGACCTTGATGCACGCAAAATCCAACCAATCAGAGCGCGAATTCATCAGAGTATCCCAGCGTCCTGTTTGCAGGGCGGGGGGTACGAGCGAAGTACCAGTACATTTACTGATTAATTGGGAAAAAAACAGACTCTGCACAGCACAGTTTCAAGTGTTTGGAAAATGCTTTGGTTAATTCTACAGGTTAATAATGCTAGTCAACAGCACTTTGTCATAATCTTGATATTCCCCTCCCTTTCCTACCGGTACATGTATAAATACAGGCCCACCCCTTATTGGTCCCAATCCCCTACCAGATGTTTATCCTAGCACACCTTGTTCTCACTTAAGGAAGTCTGTCATTCATACATGTAAACTGTGTTTCACTATTCAAAAATCCCACTGCAAATGTGCTACTGTAAAAGCTGAAGAGCGCCACCAACTGTTGGATTTCTGCAATGATTCTGCTTCTACAACCACATGTGTGTGTTCATTATGTTGGATGGTCTTACTCTAAAATTGAGTTGTTCATTTAATTCACCCTCCTGTGCAAACATGCATTCTGTGCTAAGTTGTCTTTTAAGTCAAAATCAATCAAGTGACTGTTTTTAACAGTTGAGATTGAGAGCTCCCAGCCTACAAAAAGCAGGATTGACTGGCTGTGACTGTTTATGTAACTTGACACACATGTGCTTTGACTGGAGATGATTGATACGCCAGCTAGGCCATCAGTGTCCTGCTTTTGTCTGTTGACTGAATTTGACTAGTCAGAGTGCTTGCTTGAAATATGATCTAACTGTTTGTGACTAGCCTGTGTAAAAGGCATGGCAGGGGAATTGGATGGAATTTTTGACTGTCTGTGACTGTTAAAACAGAAGGAGGTTAAAGTTGTAGCAAGCAAGAGTCACTTTTGCGCCGCAAGGATGTTTTTTTTTTATATTTCTTGTTATATAACCGACATACAGATCCTTGTCATTTGATTGGTGGAACTCACATCACGTGACATTCGTTGTTGCTCCCATTCATGCCGCGGCTCAAAAAGTACTATCCGCCCATGGGGAATGGGAAATACTATCGAACAGTTAGGATCATGACGCGGTATTTGTGTGCAAATGCATGCTGGTGTGCGCGTTCAGCGTTGCGCGTTCAGCGTTGCGCGTAGCGCGTATTATTCCAAAGAGCCAGCGCTACAGCGTTGGGTTCAAACATTTTCGTGAAAGGGAGGTTTGGAAGAGAGAAATACTTTTTCTCCAGTTTTGTATTGAAATAAAAGTTCAAATATATCAAACGACAAGGATCTATATGTCAGTTATATATAAAACAAATATTAAGTGGCTTTAAATTGTGAAATGGGAGGAATATTATTGCCTTGTAAAATCTGGACTTTTCAAGTTCACTCGGCTTCGCCTCGTGAAATGGAAAAGTCCAGATTTTACCTTGCGATAATATTCCTATTCCACGCTGGGCCACTCAATATTTGTGTAATATTTGACATTCTGTTGTGTTTTTGTTGTCAGTAATGCGATTGTATGAAATTATCTGTTTTGGTACCGGTACCCGTTAAAGCATTACATGTAATGCTTATCAGCGATTAACCGTAACTACTTAGGCCCTTTTGGTTAGGAACCATCCTCAATCCTCCAAAATCCTCCAAAATTTGGTACTTATGTTCAAGTGAAGGAAACCCACTGCTTCCCAATCCTTCAAAACTCTCCAAAAGCCCTGCCTCTCAAAATGCTTTCAGCCTCAATCCTCCAAAATCCTCCTCTTCAAACACCATTCAGCCTCAATCCTCCAAAATCAACCGAAACTGAATGTCAATGTGCCCTCAGTCCTCCACAACCCTCCAAAATTGTGTGTTGCATTCAGCCTCAATCCTCCAAAATCCTCCAAAACCGCCCAGAGGACTTTGGGAAGGAAGAACGGGCTATCTCATCCCATTTAGAGTAGAAGTGACTGATCTCTACATGCACATGTATGGACCCTCCGGAAAAATCCTTCACAATTCCGAGGTAGATTTACAAGGATCAGAGAGATCGAGGGTTAAAAATGGTCAGATGAACTCGACTTCATATTTTCTACTTAATATAGTTACGGTATGTGCCATGAAACTTGATCTTTTGTTTTCTTACAGGCAGTCCTTGGAGCAAATGCCAAGGAAGGGGAAAGGAACGTGGTGGAGATAGAAACAGAAAACTTTGATGGAGACAGCGTCAAGCAGCCTCTGTTCTCCCTCAAGCTTGGTCTCAATGAAAGCGTGAGTATTTGAGAAACTGTACCTCATTCCAGAGGAAGTTATGGGTGCGTTCGATTAGCTCATCCGGGTTAGAGTCCTCAGGTTAGCCCAGTACCATTCGATTAGCTTTGACGTCATTCTTTGGGCTCTGCCTCGTGACCCACCACAGACCCTGCTCGTGGAGCAGAGTCAGTGGTGTAAATAAATGCATGCGCTGTTCATTCAAAGAAACGGACAAATGTGGCGGCCGACAGCGGATAATCTCAAGTGGACCCAAATATCAACTTTATTTGAAATGTTCATCTAAATAGTCATACAGCTCTTACCCTAACCCTGCTGAATCCAACAGGATCCAACTATGTCATATACCCGATGGAGCCTGTTGGATTGAGCAGTAAATCCCTTGTGTACATTCCTCATGCAAAATGTTGGATTCAGCAGGCAACTGAACCGCATTATAACACCATGTTGGACTCCGTTGGATTCAGCAGACAACTGAAAAACAGGAAAGTCCGGTTGGACTCTGTTGGATTTAGCAGAGCAGTCCTGAGGAAGTACTAGGGGGTTAGGGTTGGCTATAATTCCAGCCCGACTTTGTTACTTTTTTCGATTGACAGAAAAGCAGTAAATCTCAAATTAAGACTCTGTCCGAAAAAAGGGTGCTTTGTCAGTGGCTATGGCCATGGCTACGGATGTCATGTGAGGATCGTGATGGCCTGCGGTTGAGCGTTTGTTTAGCCCGGCTGTTGTGGCTAACCCATCTGCCTTTACCCGAGTTGATCCGGGTGAGCTACCCAAGGTAAAAGGTAAAGGTCCCATAGCCATTACTGGCCGTAGGGGCAGTGGGATGTTAGAGGTCCACTGTGTCTTGGGCGCAGCATATGAGTGGCGGTGCCCAGTCCTCTCCTCTCGCTGTCTTACCTTCCCTGAACGAATCAGGTACCCATTTCACTGTTGGGTCGTCAGAGAGAGTTTTCCAGTTTTTGGACTGAATGGGATTCGAACCGCCAACCTTCCACTCCGTAGCTCCACGCTTTAACCACTCGGCTACGATGCCCATCTACCCAAACGCACCCTATATGGTTGGCATTTAGTGACGTGTAACTCACTAATCAGGTGACTCTATGGACGCCTTGCACAAGAATCTCTCCATAGTTACAAAGAGAAAGTTGGGGGAGACCTTTCGGAGAGACGCTGACACGAAGACGCCACAGGTTTGTGCACATTCAGATTACAATTAGTCGTGCGTACTTTGCGCAGTGCGTGCGGTAACCATTACGCACGCTATGTCGCCCTCTACCGTTCGTGCACAAAATCTATTACCCATTCACGGGTAAGTAAAAAAAAAGTCCCCTCTTTTCCCCTTACGTAACGCCATGTTTCCTTTAATTACGTGTGCATCAGCACAAAGACGAATAATCAGGCATGCAACTTTTCCTCGGATCCGCTGATTTCCTCGTTCATAATTCTCATGAATGTCATTACATATTGAAAAATACTGTACAAAGTCTTGTGTGGTTTGGAGTTTCCTCGTTTTTTCTTAATTCACAGTTGCATGCCTGATAATATAAAAATTCTTGTGGGTATTCTCCTTGCAGATGCCCAATTTTGAGATGAATAAAGAACACTGAAACCCATAAATATCTTAGATGGTTAAATTTTTTCATTATGTGTGGGCTATATATAGTGTGCGACTGTGCGACAATTCTTGGACTTTGTCCTTAATCCAGATTTTGAAAACCCAGCAAAAACCATGCATTCTGCACCTGTAGTTAAAATGTGGGGTTGAGAGGCCAAAACTGGTTAGCAAATCCAAACTCTGCTGCCAACTTGTGTCAAAACCGTTATGAGTATGAACGGTATGCCTTGTCAACCTGTGTTTGATAAACTTCAATCAGACCTGGATTCATCATTTATTGTTAGCCAACAATTTGGCCCTCGCTTGCCCCCATCAATTTTTGTTGAGTCTGGCGCCTGCACTGTGTGCAGGTAACTCCCTTGATAGGCTGCCAAATTCATATTAATGATAATGCATCCGGAATTAATTGATTCCTTAACGGAAGTGAAATTATCAGCATGCTTGATTAATCATCCTGTTATAAATGTATTCCCTGAAGTGCATATAGCGTGAGAAAGTTTGGTACATTTTGACATTGCTTCAATCTCCAGAAACGCTTGTACGTTTGTTTGAATAATGGGCCAACTTTTAATGGTTTGTTTTTGACAGTGGTACATGTGACTTTGATCTAAAACTATACATAATGTATACTGTATTTGTACATCAGTTCATCCAGAGGCCACCAACCTCGTTCCCATGGGTACGAGATCTTGCTGCACCATGTTGTTTCCCATCATGCCTTGCGCGATCTCAACCCCTGGAATTGTGTAATTTAAATGTGTCAAAATATGGCACATTATAATTAGGCTGCAGTATATCCGTTTTACGTGCCGACGCCATCTTTAAAATGTTTAAAGTTGTGATTTTGAAGAATCAATCATTTCAAACATAAGGTTTGGACGTTGCGTGACTTAGCAAAGATGTGTATTAATTAAATGTACGTACCCCTTTCATCCTTTTACAACCGAAGATACAGGTTTTTTTTTGCGAAAAACGAGGCTGCCATAATCCATATCGTACAGGCATTGCAAGTTTTGAATAACAAATAATTTTTGTACGTGACGTGACATGCAAAGCACGTGAGCGCTTTATCGGTGTGCCCGGCGTGCAATCTTCGAAATTCACGCGCAGTACGCTCTGAATAGCCAGTCAGCATCGTTTACGTGTACATTACGGCCAGGGGTTAGTGAAGGAACGCACACGCGCCCATGGAGTCGAGGCTGAGAGGCCACTTGCTGTTTTAACAAAGTGCCAACTAAAAAAATGATTTATTTGAATTAGTAATGTATTTTTTCCATGTGTCACGCATTGCAATGATATGTTACGTGACAAGCCAAGGGTGGACGGACGATATTCGCTCCCCACGGTATTGGAAGTTTGCCTCGGGGAACTAGTTTGTCAACTTCCAATACCGTGGGGAGCTATAATATCTGACTGTCCACCCGAAATAAACCTTGTTATATTTGTTTTAATATAGGCCTACGGTACCTTGTAGAAATCTGTGTTCGAGTTTTCAGAAGAAAAAGAAATCTGTGTTCGAGTTTTTAGAAGAAAATGAAATCTGTGTTCCAGTTTTTAGAAAAAAAGGAAATTCGTGTTCGAGTTTTCCTAAGATTCACTCCCGAGAAAGTTCAAGCCATATTTTTTAACATTGAATATTTCCTGGATATAACTGATTTACAAATTTAGTTTCAGCTCAAGGTTTACCGTAGAATTACTGAAAAACACTTCTTGCAGAAAGTTTGTCTGATTCTTAGGCTTACGCCTTATCCCCCTCAAAGGCAAAATATTACAAATTTTATAAATATTAGGCTATACAAGTAAACTTCAGTACATGGCTAAGCTGCTTTCTTGAGATCTTTACTCCAGATAAGAAACTGCTGCCTTCCGGGGGTAATTTCATGGATGGTTACACAACACAAAAGGGCTTGAAACCTTGCAACCAACTAAGATCTTTTAATTGAAAAGTGCACGTCGAACTGGTGGGGGTTTAAGAGAAAATGCTGGATTTGCTGCAATCAGCCCTCAGGGCGGCATTAAAATAATCATTTGAAAATGTTTTTCCGAGGGAAATATTACAGTTGCCTAAAGTACAGTGACTGTATTTGCTTTTTACTATAAGGAAGCAAAATCTTATTCTACCACTACCTGCGTGACATTTTTTTCTTAACAGAAGTTTTTCTCAAGAGTTGTTCAGTTTGTTTTTCACAGCAATGTTTCTTTGGGCGTGTTCTGTGCACTTTGAAACAGGCTTCTTTTATGATAGTGTTTAGTCTTTCCGCAAACATCCTCAGAATTGTTTAGTGCTTTGGCTGTAGAATTAATTGTCTTAACCCTCCTGCTATCTGAACAGTCACAGACAGTCAAAAAATCAAATGTAATAGTGGAGTGCTGTGGCCTCGTGGTTAAGGGCCTTGGATTCATGGTCTGATCTTGCGCTGATCTTGAGCTGCTGCAGGTTACTCCCCAGCTAATGCCGGTACCCATTTATACTCCTGGGTGGAGAGGGGCAAGTGGGGATGAAGTGGCTTGCCCAAGGACACAATTGGCCAGCAGCTGGATTCGAACCCCTGACCCTCTAACCATGAGCCGCGAACCCTAACTACTAGGCCAAACTCGCTAAGTACCAAAAATGCTGGACAACATTAGTTGTAATTTTTTTTAAAATGCGCTTAGACCCTGTAGTACCATGTTACATTTTACTTGGGATTTGGGAACCATACAGTGTACTTGCATACTATGTAAAAAAAACAAATTCTTCTGGAACATGTATAAACACTTCAAACGTAATTGAACCATCATTAGCGTGGTTCCTGGATCCTTACCATTGCCTCAGCTTGCGTGCCAATGAAGAGATTCCCACAGTCCAACCTGAGGATATATCGTTGATTGAGGGTCGTAATTCCTTCTGCCCCACTCCCCCGGGGGGGGGGGGGGGGGGGGGGGGGGGGGGGGGGGGGGGGGGGTCTACAGTACATCAAGTTCTTATCAAGACTGAGATCAAAACAACTGATTACAGAAAGAATTCCCTCCGAGACCATTGGCAGTGGAGGTGTAATGCTGAACTGTGGTTGTTAATTGGAAGTATCCGATCAAAACTCTGTGCTTAAAAAAAAACACCCAACTTTTGTACTTGTGTACATTTACATACATCATTACAGTCATATCTCTTAATTTATCTAGAAAAACCAACTTTTGCATTTTGTTGTGTGCCTGGTAGAAGGTTGTGTGCACTATGCCCTTACGCGTAATCACCAAAATGTCCTTAGCAAAAAGGGCACATGCAGAAGACTGCCTCGAATTTAATGAAATTTAAACATTTCCTTCGGAAATTGACACAATTTTGATTCATACGTGTGACAAATTTAAAATTCCTACCATTTATAGTACACAGGGATGTGATTTCTCCGTTTTTTTTCCAGAAATCCATTTTTTGGGCCTCAAAAGTCCACCAATCATGTGAATCCGTTGAGAAAATAGGGGGGTAGAATGTGCTAATTAATTATTCATAATGAGTTTTGCTTGCCGAAATATCCGACGGACATTACTTCGTTGATCGGTATATCTTTTAACGCACGCACATGCGCTCGCCGGAGTTTGCCCTTCATGCTTAACATTTTCAGGTTTTTTTGTCACAGACCAATCACATTCCTGATAGTACGAGTGGGAGAACATTCATACGTGGGGGAACAACGATGTATGCGTCAGAACGCTCAAGTCAAATGCCTTTCTGCCGGTTGAGCGACGATTTACACACATTTTGCACCTGAAAATTCTCTCCAGCTTTGCTTTTCTCTCCTTAGTCTTGAAAAACAATCAAGAATTTTAAATTAGGTTTTTGCCCTTTTTCAACGTACTTTGATTTACACTGTATAGGGCCTACTCGGTGTTGACTGAGGGCTGGCGAGAAACAATTCACAAGCTTATTCTGGTGGGATTGGAACCCACGACCTCCTGCTTACTAGTGCAGACGTCTTTACCACTTGACTACCAAGCTTGCCAATTTTAAAGTTTCATCTCCCCTGACTTAAACTCCATCTTACAAATCTAGAATTTGTGTTTCCCTTTTACACTCCCTTGTTGAGAACTGTTTTTGTTTTAAATAAGGGAATAAATGTGTGCTCCGGAGGTTTTTATCACTCTGTTTAAGACCGCTTAGAGTCTGGGTGCTGATAATTACCCGAGCCGGAGTTGGATTTTTAGGAGTCGGTGTTGGATTTTTAGGAGTCCACATTTTATGTGACACTGGAAAAGTGTTTAAGACCAGCTAGCCATGTCTTTATCATCCGTTTAAGACCGGCCACGTGACGGGCTCTCGACCAATAGGAATAGCTAAACTGTCTGAGGTATTTATGAATTTGAATTTGTCTTTGTCTGTCTACAGAGTCCACTAGACATTGGTATCCAGCCACCAGTTACCTTTATATTAACAGCCGGTTCTGGGCCAGTCTTCCTCAGTGGACAGCATATGATAGGTAATGAATAAAGACGCAGCAGTGCAGTGGCGTAGCCAGTTTTTTTTAAGTGGGGGGGGGGGGGGGGGGAAGGGGGTCAGGGGTCAGGGGCATTAACATTTCATGGGAGGGCACCAAGGGCAGACCCCTAAAAAAATGTGTCCCCTAATTTTCAGGGCCCCGTTTGGCCAGCGTGGTGCTGCAAATTCGAAAAAAGGGAGGGGAGGGGCAAAGCTCTTGACATTATAGGGCGCTCTTTTTGTTTTCATAAATAAGGTTAAGGTATTTGAATTTGGAAAGAGAACTACCCATCTACATTGTACATTCCTCTGCTGGTTTAAATACTAAAACATAACAAAAAATCCTGAGTAAGGGGACAAATTTTATTTTTTTGGTGGGGAACCTGCAGGGGAACTGGGAATTTGTGAAAGGCACTTCCCCCCCCCCCAGGGCCTCCCAACACTTTATGGGAAACTGCACACACATATTTCTGACTTTGTTTCTGGAGGTGTGCCAACCCAATGTCAAAGACTGTCAGTTTAGGGGAACTGTACCCATCCCGACAGATTCCAACAAAACATGCTGTTGGGGTTTGATGGGTTGAGTCCTGTTAGAGTAAATTTAAACACCGTTCAAAAACCTCAATCATAGTGGCTGTGTTTTCAGAGAGTTTGAAGACCATATATTTACATTGTAAGTGTTATGACAAGTGTAGCAAGTTTGTTACTTAAAATCTTTCGTCTTGGACTCCAGAAATCAGTGCAGATGATGAAGAAGAGTTAGAGGAAGATGACGAAGAAGAAGAAGAAGATGAAGTGGAAGTCAACGCATCTCCAGATTTCCCGGTCGCAAAGAGCAAAAAGAGACCGCTATCTACCTCCGATGGCACTGCTAAAAAGACCAAGGTGAGAGTTTTGATCTTAACAACAACAATATCACAGAATCTTAATAACAATATCACAGAATTCAATATCAGCATTTTGTCCTTCACTGATGTATAAACACTGTATACTCAGTGTGTTACCCCACGAGTGAAAGTGAGAAAACAAAATATACGTCGTTTACAAGTCGGTGAAGGGCAAAAAAACACCTATTATTGAATTTACATCACCCGACGCAAATTCCATCTTATGAATAATATCACAAAATTTAAAGGGAAGATCTACAACATTTGCAAACATCAAAAAACGAAATGATCAAATTATCACGAAGCACCTTACTGGATTGTTAGGGAATGACAGTCTAAAGCATCCTGTAAAATCGTGGCTCCTGGTGTGCTGACATTTTGAGAAAAAGTGTAATTTTTCCAACGCTGGTCGGCTGATCAGCGTTGGAGAAAAGTTTTTTTTTTTCTCAAAAACTGCTCTTACTTTTCATATTTACTTATTCCGCATTTTCTTTGCAATTGATTACACACCTATGAAGGGGTACAAGCCTGCTAGACTGATTCTCTGACCTTTCTGTTTCATCTTAAGTGGAGTCAGGGAACCAGACTACAAGAACATTATTGGTTTTCTTGCTTTTTCCAGCATTTACAAGCCCAAAACGTGAAACAAGTCAGTTTAACAATATTTGCTATAACATACTAATCCTCCCAATCCATTTATTTCTGAAAATTGCAGCAAAAGCAAATGTTGTACATTCCCTTTAAAAGGCACTCTTTATCTTCTAGCCATTACTTTAATGGCGCCTGTCTAGATATATAGATGAACGGGGAACAAACTCAGTTGTTGGGAAAAGCTAGCATAGAAGGATTTGTTTTGAGTTTCTGTGCGCAGAGTGAGGGATGGGGGTTATTAGGCCATAAATCAAGGCGGGTAGTTTCCCTATTGAATTATATTAAAATCTAATTTCCTTGGTTTTGATTCAGATGGCTAAGTTAGACAAAGATGCTGACAAGAAAGAAGACGAGGATGAGGAAGAAGACGACGAAGAAGAAGATGAAGTAATGGCAATGGTAGGTTTGAGATCGGCAGAAGGTCAAATTTGTAACACATGAGGGCGCTTTACAACAAAATTTCTGGATCCATACAATAGAAAATTATTTATTTAAGCAAGTTTGCAGTGTTCAATTTAAAAAGTGTAATTGAAATAAAAGCAATAATGTATATAAACTTAATATCCAGGAATTCCTGTCTGTGTGCAACACTGCCCCCTCCCCCGCCCCCGCCCCCGAAAAAGGCATTGTTACAGCACACTTGTTCACTAAAAAATGTGACCCACTCTGCAAAAATGAGTCTGATGTCGCATAATTTGAATTCAAGCTTTTGCCACTTTTAAATGGAAACAGTAAACATTTGCTTAAAATTTGGACTTTTTGTTTTTGTTTTATTTTGGTTGTTTGATAGTTTTAGTTCAAATATCTTACGCAGAAATTTAATTATTGTAAGAAAAAGACTAACAAAATTGTGATTGTTGGTGCTTTTCCTGGTTAGTTACAGTGTATTTGTCATTTTTCAAACCTTTTTTTCTCCATTGAGACCTTTCTAGCTTTGCCAAACCTTGACAGAATTAAACAAGCACAACAATGCAACCAAATGTCCTGGAGAGGTCCCTGATATATCAAATGAAAGCTTATTCCATTCCCATTTTATTAATGTAGTGAACTCAAAATGTCAGTTTTGCCACAACAGACTCATTTTAGCAGAGCGGGTCACAAATATGGCTTATTTGCATCTTTGTAAGTTACTGAGTTGGACAGAATTGGTCCAAAAAGATATTTCTCTTTCTAGGCCAGATTGGGTATACTTTTTTTTTTTAGTAATCTTCATAAAACTACTACATTGTCGTCAAGCTTGAGTGTATTTGAAATAATTAAAAAAAAACACCAAACCAACAACAAAAACAAAAACTTCTTAGAAGTGTTCACACCTCATGCTCCTGTCAGAGCATACACACTGTATTGCCATACTGCATCGATTCACATGACCGGCCCTACCAACAAATGTGAATTGAACAGTATGAGAAGAACGCATCTTTGGGACAGCAGCAAGAAGGGGTTATCACCATTAAAGGGACATTACGGCCTGAAATCCCCGAAAATTTTATGTTTTGGATTGTTTACTTATCCTATTTCAAAGGTCTGGGTAAAAGTAAACTGACCGAATGTCACTCTGTTCCTAAGAAAAGACGAAAAATCCGGTTGTTTACTTCTGACTAGCATACTCTAGATATCATGACTAGCACCCAACAGCTCGATTTTTGAGAGTTAAAATGTTGACCCCCTGAAATTCATTCTCATGCGCCGTCGCAAGAATAGCTCAAAAATCGCAAGAATAACACAAAAACACCCAGTGTTTAATAATAGTGGGTATTTATAAAGCACACGTTTCAACAAGGACTGGCGTTCAAGGCGCTACACCATTATTACCCCTGCTCATTGGACCTATGAAACATTCCAAATACCATCTAAGCTGGGGAGTATACAGCTCGATGCAGCCTGCTAGTCGCAAGGAAGCTAATTCAGTCACAATAACCATCTCTGCCCTCACAGGTACCCATTTACTCCTGGGTGGAGAGAAGCAATGAGTGACAAAGTGCCTTGCCCAAGGGCACATGCACCATGATCCCAGGCTGGACCCGAACCCACAACCTGCAGCTTTACCCGCAGATGCCCTTAACCACGAGGCCACAGCACTCCACAAAGGATGGTTGTGTGGGGGCTTATATTTTCTTTCTTTTGTATGCTCTTTCCAATTAACATCGTTTTGTGTAAACCGTTTTGTAGCCGAATTGGCACATTTCTGAATATTAGGAAGTTGGTATCGAGTACCTAGGTATTCATCACAGCCCTACGTTAGATGCATTCGATGCCTTAAACTAATCTCTAGAGCTCATCTTAGAAGAGCAAACACTTCTCTACTGCTGATAATATTTCTGAAATTGTGATTACTTTATTACAGATGGAGGATGATGAGGATGATGAAGATGATGAGGACTTTGAAGGAGGAGAAGACGAAGAAGAAGATGATGAGGAAGAAAGGTACTTATTATTATGAGAAGGTTTGGCATGAGACGGTTACATGGCAATTTGGCAATTTGCATAGGCAATTTGCGATTTACTACACGTGTACACAGCACAGTTATACAGAGTGTCCTAAAAAAAAAAAAAAACCTCTATAAGCACCTTCTTTTCCACAGTTTTAAAAAAACATCGCAAATCTTGATGCATGTTTGATGCAATTTAATGCAGTCTTGATCCAAGTTTAGTTCATTAGCTTTTCAACAACGAAAAAGTCTTTCCAATCAGACAAATAATAGTTGAGTTTAGGCCAATTGTTTAAGATTGGGTTCAGCTCGGGTAATTATCAGCATCCAGACTCCAACCGGTCTTAAACAGAGTGTTTTTAATACCAGCCAAGCACACATTTATTCCCTTAATAATAATGTGTGTATTAATAAAGTGCAGATATCCACCAGTATTGGTGCTCAAAGCACTACATCATTATTACCCTGCTCATTGGGCCAAAGAAACATCCCAAATACCATCTCAGGTCCCTGGGGAGTATAAAGCTTGATGCTGCCATTTCGGCGCAAAGCAGCAATAATCAATCCCAATAGCCATCTCTGCCCAAACAGGTACCCATTTACTCCTGGGTGGGGAGAAGCAATAAGTGACAAAGTGCCTTGCGCAATGGCCCATGCACCATAGCCCAAGTCTGGACTCGATTCCACAACCCGCAGAATTACCCGCAGACCACAAATTCAATTCTCCAGACCACGAGGCCACAGCACTCCACTAAGCCCAGTTGTACATGTACCTGTTCAAAGTAACAGGGAATGATCAATGACAAAGGAATGTCTTCATCATGGCTCATCTTAATAGTTTTTAACTTGACTTACGACTGGACAACTTTTAGATTGACTTGTGACTCATACAACTCTGGTGGAGACTTTCTGAAGGGCCACCATTACTAAAGTGTACCCCTCTCCATGATTGACTATTAACACCCAAAGCATAGGATGACGTTTTTTTTTCTCTCAATTAAATTTCAGCGATGAGGATGATGATGAAGACGATAACGATGAAGAAGAAGAAGAAGAAGAAGATGAGGAATCACCAGAGAAACCCCTCAAGACGAAAGCTAAAGGCAAAAAGGTAAGAAACATCGGCCAGGACAGTAACGCGCAAAACGATTTGAAACGCGTACCGTAAGGAAATAGTACAAAAATCACTGCATTAATATCTAACTGATATAGAGTCAGTGTGGCCCGTGCATTATAGGCCATGTTCACACTGGACTCGTTTGGAAGACTTCACCCGTGGTTTCATTGTCCATGAATCCCATGCAGTGAATGAACATGGGCTTTCAAGTATACCTACTTGTCTTACTTTTCCTAGGTTTTTTTTTACCTTGCTCCAACTTTTCCTACTTTGTTCTTGGAAATTCCTACTTCTTATCCCACATCTTCAAAAATGAAATCTCATTGAATATTTTTCATAACAGTGTTACGCACTGCCGTATGTAAATCACACAATGAAGGGCTTGGGCGCAGGAGTACTGCAACTGTACTTCCAAGAGCTTAGTTGAGGATGGAGCACAAGTGTTGTGAGTAATGGACGCCAAATGAGGTTTATGATGCTGTGGACTCGGGTGAATATCAACGAAAACTACTCCTGAATCCCGCAAAAGTGCTTCTTTTATCCCGATCTTGTCCTCAACAGTCCTACTTTTGTCCTGTTTTTTTGAAAATTTTGATCCTAGTGTTCTCCTACTTTTTCACCTGGGTCTGCTTGAAAGCCTGTTAACAGTTATACTGACACTTAAAACCATATTACCCTGCTATAAGCAACAGAAAGCAACAAAGGTAAAAAGTTATTACATACTGTTGCATTTAGCAGCCAACTCAAGTCCCTGTGCTCTGTTGCATCTTGTTGCATTTAGCAGGGTAATGCTCATAGTGCCAAGGCAATACAACAGAATCTACTGTTGCATTTGGTTGCATTTAGCAGGGTAACTGCTTGGTGCCAAGGCTGGTATGCACTGGGTTCACTGCACCATGCAACATAACCCACAGTTGCAATTTGTTGCATTTAGCAGGGTTCTTACATTGTATTTCAGCCAAGTTGCATTTTGTTGCATTTGGCAGGGTGCCTGGAGAAAACCTGTTGGGGGTTAGGGTTAAAGAAGTGACGCTGTAGTCATTTTCAAGGAGATGAAACCTGGTACAACCTTCAGTCAAGTTTTCCTGCCTTGTCAAAGTGCCTGAGTATCCTGAGTAAAATAATGGAAAGATGGCTTGCTTTGCTAAATGCAGAGGGGACTTTTGTCATGAGGTTGGACATCATCCCTATCTTCAGAATTATTTAGAAGCCTTCAATGTCTGAACACAAAAATAGAAATACTTTAGTCATTGGTCTCATATTACCTGGCGTTCTGGAGGAATTTGATGTCTCTGAAGCAATACCTTGGCCTTATTGAGCCAGAAACTCGACACCAGGGGGTCTTCAACCTCCTTAGGTTGGACTCAAACAAAGGCGAGCTTTCAAAAGCACCGTACATGTTGAACCATGGCATTGAGGTACCACCTATAATTCCATGCTTGTTTTCCCAGGTGGGCTTGTCCCATAATTACAACAGCGTGCCACTACCGATCAGATGTCTCTGTATTGGAGTGTCACGCTCGTGACTCACGGATTGTGACATTTCTGTGCAGTGTTCTGATGACTCTGTTGGGTAAAGGTTGGGGGGATAAGATCTAGCGAGCCTACTCAAGATGACCAATGATCCGTGGGGAGTTTGCCTCATTCATTGGCCTTGAACTTGGAGAGGCGTCTTTAAGAAACACGGTGCCTCTTCGTAGTGAGAAAAAGTATGCGAAGTGTCTTAATAGCAACACTTCTGTTGAAGACAAGAAGAAAGTCTGAATTTTCAAAATGCCCAATACATAATTTTGATTCCAGCTGTAGTATTTCTAGTATGTTAATTATCAATGAATTTGCCCTACATCAGTGTAATTTTATGAGCAATGTACACCCAGTACATGTGTGTATACAAATATACACAGTGCTGTTGGGAGAGTGGCCTAGTGGTTAGGGTTCGTGACTCATGGTCAGGGGTTCGAATCCAGCTACTGGCCATATGTTGTGTCCTTGGGCAAGCCACTTCACCACCACTTGCCTCTCTCCACCCAGGAGTATAAATGGGTACTCACTACTGGCATTAGCTTGGGAGTAACCTGCGATGGACTAGCATCCCATGCAAAGGGAATAGAAATATTCTCAGGCTTTTCATGCTGCTGAAACCAGAGATAAACGCCGGCCTGATGGGCCACATTGGCTCATGACAGACTTGACTTTACTTACTGTGCAAGAGCTTGTGAAAAAAAATCACGCAAGCACCCTGGGGTAGGATTTGAATTCACAACCTCTTGCTTGCTAGTACAGATTCGACTACCAATCTTCCACTGGGTTTGGTTGGTTGGTCCAAGTCTAATGAAACAGTAGGCACCAGCATCTTGTACTCCTCATACCCGTACATGCATACATGTGCATATTTAAGACCATACAGTTCGCGGATTTGTAACTCATACATGTAGCAAACAACAATAATGTTAAATCAAATTAGGTTTTGCCTTTCCCCGACATATAAACACTGTATACTCAGCATTGAGGATACAGTGTTTATAAGTTGGTGAAGGGCAAAACCTAATTTGATTTACATCACCCCGACGCAAAATTCCATCGTATGAATATAGTTAATGCGGTACCCGCTGCTATGTACATCTGATTTGCACCAGCCAACCGATCCCGTTAGCTCGGTGGTCGAGTGGTAGACATCTGCACTAGAAAGCAGGAGGTCGTGGGTTCGAGTCCCACCCGAGTGATTGTTTCCAACTTTCACTCGGAAGGTAACACACTGAGTATACATACTGTACAAGTGTTTATACGTCGGTGAAGGGCAAAACCTGATTTGATTTACATCACTCCGACACAAAATTTCATCTTATGAATAGTTAATACAGTACCCGCTGCTATCTGATTTGAACCAGCCAACCGATCCCGTTAGCTCGGTGGTCCAGTGGTAAGACGTCTGCACTGAATGCAGGAGGTCGTGGGTTCGAGTCCCACCCAAATGATTTTTCCCAACTTTCACTCGGGAGGTAACACACTGAGTATACAGTGTTTATACATACGTGTACATGTACGTCGGTGAAGGGCAAAACCTAATTTGATTTACATCACCCTGATGCAAAATTACATTTTATGAATAAAAATAACGTTAACTAACTAAGTTAGGTCAAGTGGTGGCGGTATTTGGAAAAAAGTCATTTTCGATACAGAAATTCCACTTTTCTTGGAAATGACAGCACACCAGGTGCCGTGATTTCACAGGATGGTTGAGACAATTATTCACTTACAGTCAGGTACGGTACAAGTATTTCATAATAATTTGGAGCTTGTGTTTTTGATGTTTGCAAATGTTGTATATTGCCTTTAACCAAGTTATGCTGAGAGCTGAGCAAGTTTTCTGCTGATAAACAGTTCCATGGAAGATGCCCATGGTGTCTTTTAGTGAAGCTTCCTAGGAAGTTCAGAGTAACCAGCATTTGATCAACAACACTTGCAGGGGAAATGTTGATATGCAAGTGTGCATTCGCCAGGAATGAGAGCGGATTGACTTATTAAATGACACTAGCTTTCCCCCCTGAAATGTTCTCATCACATCAAAATACGTCCTTGAATCATTTTCCGACATCCCGTGCTTTGGCAAAAAATAAGATTCAATCTTACATGTAAAACAGAAACAGATTTTTCTTCACCCCCGGTTCATGGCCTCCATGTACAATATTTGGACTTAATTTCCCAATCCCGCTTCCCCTGGCTTGTACCGGGACATGTATGCATCACCCAGGATTCATCAACCCATTTTAAGACTTGGCAGCCACTGGAATGTGATGTCATGCACATTATTGCTAAAGACCTTGTAGTTCATGATGTGGGGAGAACGTGCAGATAACATCAGTGGCTTGTACATGTTGTAATTAGTGAACAGTGCTTGGACAGCATAACAAAGGCACAATGCACCCAGCTGGCAATCTTAAATGATTGATTGTACATGTACGTCATACAATATACATGATGTACATGTGGCAGTAGTCCAAATGAAAATGTTGAAATCACTGTCGTGTATGATGTGATCTACATGTACAGTACATGTATGCATGGTACGTGTATGTACGTAAATATATGTAAACACTGCAAAAAAAAAGAAAGTTCACGCTCATTGGAGGTGTCATAATTTTGAATCTGATTGTCATATGATAACACCATTTATAACTTTGGAGAATGTTGTTAGCTACATTTTGATACCCTGTTTGCTACCAAAGACCAACCATCGTCCCACATTGACAACGGTTTAAGAAAAATGATGCAGTTTGAAAAGTTGCAAATGTAAAGAGTACACGAGTGGAAATTGCTGCGTGACAATATCACACTGCCAGAAACGAACGGCAGGGAATACCGATCGCACAGTGCTTGTACGGTATGCATGGGAGCACGCGAATTGAATTACCTGCGCTTTGTTCATGCACTGTGCAGTCGATAGGGGCCAATTACGGGCATGTGTAGTTACGCTCAGCAATTTCTCCTCGCATAATCTTTAAATTTGCAACTTTTCAAACTGCATCATTTTTTTTCTAATTTTTTTTAACTTGCCCCTACTTTTCCTATTTTTTTTCTTGAAATTCCTATTTTTTCCTACTTTTTTGTCCCACAACTCCGAAAACTATTGTTCATACATTTGTACTGTCATAATGTAAATCAAACCTTGAAGGGCGGGGTGCAGGAGTTCTGCAACTGTACTTCCAAGAGCTTAGTTGATGATGGAGCACAAGTTTTGTGAGTACAGAACATGCCAAATGAGGCTTATGATGCTGTGAGCATGGGTGGGTGTCTCAAATAAAACTACTCCTGAAAGCCAGCAACAGTCCTACTTTCTCCTGAATTTGTCCTCCAAAGTCCAACTTTTGTCCTTTTTTTTTTTTTGGATTCTACTGTTCTCTTACTTTTTCACCTGGGTCTTGAAAGCCTGCAACAGTCTTACCCGTACATACATGTAAACTCCTACATGTACTAACCACAGTTTTGCTGGTCCC